ACCACCTTCCATCACCACTACCACTACCTCCTTTCACCACCGCCACTACCTTCCACCGCCACCGCCACCGCCACCGTCTTCCACCATTACCGCTTTCTACCACCACCACCATTGTCACCGCCTTCCACCACCACCACTTCCACCACCGTTTTCCACCACCGCCACCGTTACCGCCTTGCACCACCACCGCCACCACCACCACCGTCACCGCCTTCGCCACAGCCACTGCCTTCCACCACTACCACCACCACCACCACCGTTAACGTCTTCCACCACCACCATTGCCTTTCACCACTACAACCACCGCCACTGTCTTCCACCACTACCACTACCTTCCACCACCACATTCACCTACATTGGCTTTCACCACCGTCACCTACACCAAATTGAAAATCCACTTCGATCAAATTGTAATCCTCGTCTAGCTCATTAACTTTGCCTTTAATGGCAAAGTCCAATTCTTAGTGGAGATGGAAGAAATTTTAGCTCTTATGTAAATAAAAATGGAAAAATAAAAATAAAAATAAAAATGAAATCCCGGAAGAAGGAGGAAAGAGTGGGCTGCGGGAGAGAGAAAGAGAAGCTGAAGAAAAAGAGGTCCCAAAAAATCTTTTGTCCTCCACCACCAACCTAGTCAAAGTGATTATATGAATATTTTGCTAATTTGTACTAATTTGTATGCCAAAGTGATTATATGAATATTTTGCTAGCATGCTAAATTAGGATGGTTGTGTTATCAATTGTGTTAAATGCCAATATATGAGTAAAGTTGTATAATTGGTAATGTTTATATGTAGCATGATTGATTAATGGCTCTATTGTTGACAAGCATGTTTGGTGTTTGATGATTGACTATGTAGAATAAAATGATGAGATTTATGTTATAGAAGCTTGTGTATGCAATATAGCTATGTGAGTACTTGATGGCATGTTCCTTTCATGATGATAGATAAAATATGACTATTGTAAATTGAAGATTAAACATTCATTCATAAGCATTGGGTGGTATATGTGTGGGCTATGGATAGTGGTTAGTTATGGATGTGAGAAAGGAATTGCAGGGTTGGAAACATAATTATGAGAACGGAAAACAAGTGGTAGTCTTGTTTCCGAGATTGTGATAGCTAGGCCCCAAATGGTGGTGAGCGGTGGATTCACAGCAGGGATAGTTAGTTGATGGTCCAATGGTTAGCAAGCGGTGGACTTACGCCATTTGAAAGTGGTGGTCTTTGATGCGGTTTGTGAGATTGGGTTGGTTTAGTTATTGAGGTGTATACGCACTAGTTGAGAGTCATAGGAATTGGTTAGCTGAGGATCATGACATTCAACATAAGCATAACCATCCTTCATCCTTGTCTCCCATTCCTTTTGGTGTTTGCTCAATTAGCTTTAGGAATCATGCCTTAGGCATACTCTATTGAGCGGTGGTATTCACCCCTTTATCTAAAACATTTTTAGGGTTTAGAAGCGACGAAGTGGATGTGACGCCTCATTATCCTATGGCGTAGTTAGGATGTTTAATTTCGCCATCCATTGTAACCAACGTCACATTTGTAAAACATTGTTATTAACTTGTTTTATATTGTGATCTTTTCAATGGCAATGTAAATGTATAACTCTGGTGATGTATTCTATTAAACTAGTATAACTTCAGGATGTGTTCTTCAATTGGTCCCTCGCTCATGCAGGGCCAGTAACCTTATAGTTAAACCCATTGACCGTTATTTGGTCGAGAAATGACCATTTTACCCTTGTGACCTTTGGATTTCCAAGTTGAATTTTAAATATGGTAATAGGTCTTATTCATTCAAATGTCATCAGAGCAAATTAGTATGGCACTAATGTGGCTCCCAAGGCATCAAATAATTTAGAATGACGGTTTTGCCCCTAGTTCATCTCGGGTTCGGGTAAGGACCTGTGTGACGATTCGGACCCCTGGGTTCGGGTCGTTACACTCGAAGTTTCTGAAGACGAAAAACAACAAACACATCACACAAGTGCCGTTCTTTGAAAACCTTCAATCCATTGTTCAAGATCAAACTCCATCAACCATCAATCGAAAATCTAATCAAGCCTTCTTTAATCTCAAAGATTAAACGAAAGTTCAACACAACTAGTTCAAGATCAAGCCCATGAAGCCCTTGCGTCAAATAACTTAAGGAAAATAAATCAAAGAAATATTCTTAATTGTACAAGAATCAACCACAAAGAATTTTACCACCTCCATTAAATTAATAAAATTGATTATTTGTTCGCATTTTCAATTCGAGATTTTTGGACACAAAATTTGCGTGTGTAAACCACTTGAAAGCACAAGTTTGACATGTGAAGGGTCTTACAAACAAGTCAATGGCATTTTTGAAAGAGAAAAAAAGGGTAAAATGGACATTATGGCAAAAAAGTGATATGAGGGGGTGTTTTCACACTTTTAAAAATATATATATATAGCATATTTTAAAAAGTGAAGAATAAAAGTGCTATGCAAGTATACTACAAGGGTTAAAGGCACTTAACCCTTTCACTTTTTTGGCAACGAAATCACAAAGTGGAAACCATTGCCAAAAAAAAAAAAAAAAAAAAAACCCTATGGCCAACATTGTAAAATAATCCAATCACGGTACAAGGAGAATATATGTATTGGGTAAGTGCAAAAAACACAAGTATACTTTTCATAACATTTTTATTCCTTATTTAAAAAGGTATGCAAAAAACACCTACATTCTTTTCAATTTGTGCAAAAACACCACTCAATTAATAATTTAATATAATGCCTTTTTGACCTTTTTTTACTTTTCTAAAAATACCCCTACCAAACATTACTCACTACCCCAAAACCACAACCACGGGACTAATCGAGTTCGTGAGATTGAAGCCTTCTTCATTGGCGGTGGGTGACCCAAGTTCTTCAGCGGCCTCGCTGCGTCTTGGACGCTGCCGTCCATTCCCCTTCCTCGTTGCCAGAAGAAATTGTCAGAGATGTTAAAGGAGTCGACATGGTAGTAAGTTTCTTCACTTGTGATGCATCACTACGAATTTAAGGAGGAAACAAGAAAGCTTACCGTTTTCATACCCTCAATTTGACAACTGGGTTTACAAGGACTCATCAACCTTGTGTTTTTACACTACATGATTTAAGTGAAAGTGACCTCCATATCATCTAAAGGATCAAAGTTCCAATTAGCTGTTGGGTTACGATTCATTGATATTATATATATATATATATATATATATATATATATATATATATATATATATATATATATATATATATATAAATAATAATGGTGTATTATACCCAATTCAACTTCTCCATTAAAGCTTATAATTTTTTTTTTTTTTTCTATTGTGATGAATCTGATGATCGATTAAATGGGCTATACCAGTCCAATCAAATACTTAAAAACTTAAGTTTTTTTGAAATCTTTCTAATAATATGTACTGGGTTTGTTTAAAACAAGATAAGTTGCAGAGTTTTTTTTTTCTAAGTATTTGTACTGGGTTTGTTTGGTTCTTACACCGACAATCATACCCATATCAGATTGCAATAGCTCCAATAAACAAACCACAGCCAGATATTGAATTTTTTACACACGGCTTTAAACTCTATGGCCACCGGTGAGAAGCTCTGAGCATCACCGGCCTTACCGAAGATGAAGACATATGCAGAGATACAACGACCGATCCGCTCCGACGAGCTCCAAGCAGCAGCGTCCATTGAAGCTGGCAAGCTCCGAATCGAAGCTGTATGAACTGAACTAGAGTTCCATTGAAGACCAAACTGATACCTCCATATAGACGGTGACCAAACCTAAAAAGCATCAACATTCAATCCATCAGAAAAGCTTCAGCGACCTTTATCGAAAAAGCTTCAGCGAACCTCAAGATTGCATTTCAGACAGAACATAAACTCTAGTGATCAACTCCAGTGACCCATAGTTTTAGATGACTTGCATTGGAGAGCTGAAGCGACCCAGTTCGCGAATGAAAAGATGACGATTAAAAATAATGGATTTCGAGACTTGGAGCTTCACCGGAAAAAATGGAATTGGGTGGTGGCGGCGACAATGATGGCGGAGATGTCGCTGACAGTCTTCTCCAGTCTACCCTTCCCTCTCTGCGGCGGCAACCACAAGATGATGAAGAAGAAATAGGGCCAAGCCCTTTTTAGTCATTTCACAAAATATATATTTTTTATATATATTATAAAATGTGTTGCTAATGTATTTTAGTTTAATTTTTATAAATAAGACTTATTTGCACAAATGTCATAATTTAGGAGTGAATTTTGCATGAAAGGAGTGCAACATGTACTATATGCATATTATAATAGTGTTTTTTACACTTGACCCATATACGTATATATGGGACAGTTTTATTAGACACCGTGCCTCTAACGAGACATCTATAAGTCTTATCCTTCATTAATCCTTTGTCAGTTATCGTGAACTTTAACGGTCGGATACCCTCTGTCCCTCCCTCTCTATAGCCACCCCAACAGAATTTGTTCCCGCGTTTTTTGGCTTATGAGAGAAAAGAAAAGACACACCTTACCAAATGTCCACTCATATCTCCCCCTTTTTTCTCCGGGAAAATTTCCAAGCAGAAGTCCTTCCCCCATTTGCTTTCCCTTCCCTGCCCCCAAATCATGGCCTTCCTCTTTCTCTTCTAATGATTTCTTTTCATCATCGTCCTGGTTTGCACTTTTCCTCCCTTTCCCCGGGGTCCTTCAATTTTCTGGGGGACCCTCCATTTCCCTCTACGGTGTCTCCATTCATTTTTTTCGAATTGTTTTCGTGTTCTTGATGGTCTTTGAATTAAGCTTCTGAATCCTTAACTTCGATCCCATTTTGGGTTTTTTTTTTTTTTCGCTTAATTTTAATACAAGAAAAGGAGGAGAATTTTCTTTTCTTTTCTTTTTCTTTTTTATAAATTAGGCGTTTCAAAGAGCTCGGATTAAGGGACATTTTTGGTTCTAGGGTTTGAATTGAGAGCATCAAGACATGAATTGCTTCCCATGTTTTCAACGGAAGAACAAGAAGCCAAATGGTAGGAGTCTGCATGTTGTGGCTCATGCAATTTGTGATCCTGGTGAAGAACCACCGCTGCCAGGTACCATCTCTCTTAATTGAATTGTATGAAGCTGTAATAATTATAAAATATAAAATTGCGACTATTCGAAAATCGAGTTGTTCGGCATATATTGTTGCACATCTCACATCTGCATAGCCATCATTGGAATAAGAAATCCAATTTATTAATTTGTGTTAGGTCTAAGCATTAACTTAGGTATTTTTTTTTTCAAATTCTGTGATAAAAACATTGGTTGTAATGTAGTGGCTAAGTCAAAGGGTCAGTTAGTTTTGTACTTTTTGGTTTGCCTGTAGATTTGTTAAAGAGATGTGATTGAAAATTCATGTTTTCATTGAAATTGGACTCATTGGATTGATCTAGGCTTGGACAGAAAGTTGATTAGTTGGAGTTTGATTGAGAACGCCTCAATCGATTGAGGATGGTCTTGACTAGTTAAAAAGTCTACAGAATGTTTTAGCTGGATTGATTTAAACTTTGAGATTGATGAAAAAAGCACAATTACGGGAAAAGTTTGAGTTCCTAATCAAAATCGGGTCCTATCCCATTTCCAATTTTCGACTAAGCTAGTAAAAGATGTACTTTTTTTGCAAAGTAGATTGTTAGCATCTAGATTGGATCCTTTGTATCGTTCGGTTTTCATTTTTCCATGTAAGAAAATTTCTGCTTCTCTTGATTGCTTGTATGGTTTGTTGATGAGTGAAAGATCAATTGCATTGAGATTACTAAAAATTGGTAATTAAACAACCTTCCAACTCATTAAACAAAAAAGAAGACTTATTTAACCTCCCCTAGGTCTTTAGCCTACACTTGTGATTCTAACTTATTTAGGAACTTTCACTACAAAACTCTCTCATAGTGTTACTAATTCCATGATGCAATAAGGTTGGGTTGATTCATTATCTCCATTCTTAGATGATAATAACTATCTCTATGGCTTCATTTGGTTAGATGGAAATAGCAAGAAAAGAAAGGAAATGAAAATTTTCTGAACACTTTCGAAGTTTGATTAGAACGGAAAATGGAAAATTCCTACATAAAACACAAGAAAATTTTGATTTCCTGAGAAATTTTTATGAAGTTACTAGTATGGTAAGTTCCTTGTTATTCAAACTGTAAAATGGTAATTTCCCATAATTTTCTTGAAAATGTTCATACTAATCAAATGCACAATGGAAATTTTATTTTATTTTTATTCACTTCACTTTCTTTTACTTACACTTTCCACCACTAATTTCCATCTAACCAAACAGAGCCTATATAGGAAAGGTAAAATGAGAGCCTTCTTGAGACCCCTTTATGAAGGGTGTGTGGCTTACCTTAGAAATTGCTTAGAGATCTCTTACTGTTAAGTGTATGAGATGACACGAATGACAGAGTAGTTGAAAATTGTATAGAAGAGTGGTCAAAAGCTGTTAATGAATTGTGCAATTCTAGTAGTAAAGGTCTCAATATTATTTTAAATGAGGCAACACCTGATGAGTTTAAAGTCTTTTAAGGATGCAGCATGTTCCAAAATGGAAGAGAGAGAAGGGCTTATTTTCCTCTTACAAGTTGGTTGCATCCAATGAATTCATTGGATTGAGAATTAATAATGTAAGTTGTAAGTTCATTGCACTGCGAATTAAGAATGTAAATTACTAGGTTTAGATTTAGTTTCTCCTTACGAGTTATATAGCATCCATTAGATTCCCTATTCTTCATTCTACTTCTATTTGTTGGAGTGTAATGTCAAACTCCATTGTTGATAAGCAAGAAGGGTATATAATTACTAGTTTTAAATCAAATAATTTCTTTGTCTCAGTTCTATGTAAGTGTAAACATGATGTATTATATATATCTTTGTGCTCTACTAAGGGTGCAGCAAAATATGTTTCCTCTCGGGGATGTTGTAGCCAAATGCACAAGCCTTAGATTTCACAATTTTTTGGACATTGGGAACATGTAATTCCTTGACAAGAAACTGCACAAAATAGTGTAGTACAATCTGTAAATATGCATAGTCACAAAGTATTTCTTTATAGACCAACCTCGAAACAGAAACAAAGGATTGCCCCAATAAACTGGTTAATACTTCATGTTTCTAGTAAATGATTTTGAGCCATTACAAATATTTGTTTCTTGTGGTTATGAATTTTGGGATTCCTTGCAGAGTTACATGGGCTGCACCTTAAACATCTTTTAGAAGATGAATACCCTTGTTCTTTAATAGCTCTACATAGGTTCAATTACTAAAGAGAATGTTTCTTTTCTCAGGAGTGATTCATATTAGAAATTTAGTAAACTGTGTAAGCAATTATAGTAAAGAATGGTGCATAATTTGTACGCCTACAGTGTCGAGGAAATCAATTTTTTTTTTTTTTTTTTTTTTTTTTTTTTCTCCCTGAAGGTGATATCAATTTTCTCTAAGCTAAAACATAAAGCAAATTGAAATTTACAGATTCTATTAACTCCTAAGAGTTCATTCTATTTTTGTGCAGTGTTTGGCAGACAAAAACTATCATCTGAAGCCGAACACAGGAGGGATGCATCTAGCACTGTCAACACTGGAAATATTGCGGCACAGACTTACACTTTTCGTGAGCTAGCCGCTGCAACAAAGAATTTCCGGAAAGAATGCCTATTGGGTGAAGGTGGATTCGGAAAAGTTTTTAAGGGATCACTCCCTGATAGTGAGCAGGTTATACGGACTTCAATTTAGTGATTGTTCCTAAAATGATTAATAGTCATGTTTTATGAAAGAAGATCTGCTAGTTTTTTAATGTGAAATTAGTAACAAACTCCCGCTCTTATTTATTTATTTATTATTTTTTTGTCACTGCAAATAGGTTGTGGCTGTGAAGCAACTAGATAGGAATGGAACACAAGGAAACAAGGAGTTTCTTGTTGAGGTTTTGATGCTGAGCCTCCTCCACCACCCGAATCTGGTCAGTCTTGTTGGATATTGTGCTGATGGAGAGCAGAGACTTTTAGTGTATGAGTATATGCCGCTGGGATCTCTAGAAGATAAGCTATTTGGTATGTTTTTTGGCCACTATCGCGAAATTATGGTTCATTAGATCTTTACTTCCTTTTTTCATTCTCTATGGGGTGGTTTGTGATGTTGTGTGCATATGTCAATTGTCTTTGTTTATCTGAAAATCTTGTTTTTTTGATTGTTCAATACACAAAATTATTGATGTTCCCTTTTATGATCCTTCAGTTATCAATTTTGTTTGTTCTTTTTTACATTTGAACTTTTTGCTTTTGGTATCCCTTACCATGTACTTAGCGAGCCATGGAACATTTCACAGACGTTTGAACAGAATTTACTGACAGAAATTTGTACTTCCATTTCAAATTGCAGGGACTTCCCAAGAAGAGCCATTAAATTGGATAACAAGGATGGAAATAGCTTCAGGTGCTGCTCAAGGCATGGAGTATTTGCACCACAAGGCCAACCCCCCAGTTATATATCGCGATTTGAAGCCCTCCAACATCTTATTGGATGAAGATTTCAACCCCAAACTCTCCGACTTTGGACTTGCCAAGCTTGGAAATTCCGCAAATAAGATGCATGTATCGCCAAGGGTGATAGGTAGCTATGGCTATAGCTCTCCAGAGTATGAACGAACAGGCGAGCTCACAATAAAGTCAGATGTGTACAGTTTTGGAGTTGTTTTACTTGAGCTCATCACAGGTCGAAGAGTCATTGACACTACACGACGAGCTGAGGAGCAAAATCTAGTTGATTGGGTATATATAAAATCATCCTACCTTCTTTCCCTCTTTGTTATAGGAATACTAAAGAAGAATATGCCATCCTTTCTCTTTGTTTATTTGCTTTTTTCTTTAGTATTGTTGTTTTGTTTTCTTAAAAAGAAGGTATTTGTAGCTTGATAGAATTTCAAGTAGTTTATCAACATTCAAAAAGGTTATCTATTATGCTTTTTGCTTGAACAGGCACAGCCCATTTTCAAGGATCCAAGGAGATTCCCTGAGTTGGCAGATCCACTTCTTAAACTGGACTTCACGGTGACAAGTTTAAATCAAGCAATTGGGGTTGCAGCCATGTGTCTCCAGGAGGAACCATCAGTCCGTCCCTTGATCAGCGATGTTGTAACTGCTCTTAATAGCCTAACACAAGTTAAGGACGAGCCTAACCTTTCTTCTCTTCCTGTTTCCAAAACAGGGAACATTTCAAGAGATGGATACAGTTCAGAAGATCATCAGGATGGAGATTATTCAGACAATGAGGATGAAGAGAGAGCACTTTATCCTCATGGAAGCCGTAAGTATTCTAAAGATGAAGACATTTCAAGTAATAGATATGTAGATAGTTCAGATCATAATGGAGAACCAAAAAAGGCAGTTAAAAAATCCATAAGATGGAGTTCAGATATAATGCGCAAACACAAGGATTCCATGGATGGAAGTTTTAATACAAATTCAAGGCGCATTGACAACAATGAATCCCCAGATGGAAGTGTTGGTCAGAACGCAATGCTCAACAGCAACATGGAAACTCAGGACAGAAGTTCTAGGTCCATTTCAAGGCAAAACAACATGGACACTAGTGATGACATGGAATCCCGGGAGATAAGTGTTGATTCTAATTCAAGGCACAAATTCGAAGATAGAACTCCAGGTTTGAATTCAAGCCACGGACTTAATTTAAGGTCTAGTAGCACAATGGAACCTCCCCGGAACAAAAGTGATGCTCCAAGTTTAAGGTGCAATAGTATGATGATATCTAGGAATGGAAGTGGTGGTTTGAATTGAAGCTGCAACAGTGACATGGGATTCCAAAATGGAAATGTCAGACTGTACCTGAAGCATAACAGCGACATGGGATCTCAGGATGTCCATGTTGGTTCACATTTAAGGTGCAGAAGCGATGTGTGACTTCAATGTGGAAGTGTTTTTTCATCGTAAAATATCCATCTTGTCACCATGATCACTAGATATATAGACATTCATTTGGGAACCGTCGATGGCTTTGGAGCCTCTCATTCAGAGATTAGTACTTTTTACAGAAATGTGCCATCAGAGAACTTGGTTTAGAGTTGCAATGGGCTATTCTGATTGTGGTGCAGTTATATATGGGAAGGAAAAGTTTAAGTGAGGAGTTACTTCTGTTTAACATCTGTTTATGCTAAAATTCCAGGAATTTTCTCTAAATATTCTTCTATAGAATATGCATAAGCTTTGAGACAACTACAACTATGAGTGGCCTCAAATAATTTGCTATGTATGCAGAAGAATACATTTATCTGTATAGTGTGGTAACATTGTTTCTAGATTATATTAGGATCAATAAGGTGATGATTATTTGTATAATTCAAAAACTTGAATTTATCAGATAAACTGTGAGGATTATTGAGGACATAAATCTTAGTTTACACATTGATCGTTCCTTTTGAAGGAGCATCATCCTTCTAAAAGACCGACTGATCAGTTGGAGAGTCAGTTGTTTCCGGTGTCAAAAAAGGTTTAAATCACAGTTTTTGTCTGGAAAAGCAGTTAGTTGTGCTGAATCGACCGCATAACTCTTTGGAAGAACTGAACAGTATTTTCTGTTCAACCTGTTAATAGCTCTTTACATTTTTTAGCATTAGCAGTATGGCTCTTTAAGAAAGCAAGCCCAATAACTCTAGACATCAATGTTTTTGCAAGTTCCTCCATGGGTTATGTAAGGTCTTTACCTAGGATATTTTTCCAATTTCATAAATATAATAGGTTCCCTGTTATGTTCTATACTTAAAACAACTTTTTCTGTTTAATTCACCTTTAGGAACGCTTTTGCTAACATATTATTTTCTCTGTCACCAGTTAATCAATGTAAGTCCTTTATACATATATTTGACTTTAACTTGTTTAATTCTAGTTCACTTTTCCATTTCATGCTTGCTTTAATTCCTGTATGATATGAGATGTTCACTTTTCCTTTCTCTTCAAAATCAAGCTTACACACTTGCAAAATCATGACATATCCCTCCAAATAAACCTAGATATCCATGATTATTAGTATAAGATGGTGAAAATATAGTTGAATCCCTGCTAACACCAGCACTGAAATTTTGCAAATACTGTTTTCAGTGCTTGCAAAAGACCTCATTCATCAATTAGATCAATGTCCAATTCAAGTCCTTCATATAGAGGCATAAGACTGCTGTAACTACAATGGAATAATGTGAGCTTCTTTAGTAACATAGAATGCCGATAACAGCTGAAACTTAGGCAGTTATGCTGTAGCTTCCGAAAACCTAAATATTGAGAATCTATGGTTTGATTGTTGAGGGTTGTGAATGATTCTCATTTGTTCACCTCTTTGTTTTGTGGACTAGTTATTGTCACCTATCCAAAATTTTCATACTGTACAGCTTCATTTTTGCATTTGTGGTAGTCTTGCAACAGATTATCCGGTGAAACCCAGAAATTCAAACAAGGTACTGGAGTCTATTCCGAATACTATAGATTTACTACATTCAGTAGGGTTGTCTCAATGCACTACAGTAATGAAGAACGATACCATCCACAAAAGAACCAGAAGGAAAAAATAGAACTCTGAATTTCATCTTTCTTGAAGTTATCAGCATTAATACAATATATGCTACAGATTTCAAACATTTGAAATACAAATCACCCAATTAGCAGTGATAAGCTTGCCGCTACTAGGTTCATTTCTATCTTAGCTTCCTCAGTGGCAGTGCTCGCCCAAAGAGCTTTTCGAACTCATTTGCTTCCATCTTAAGATTACTCAAAATATCCATCTCTTCCTTGCTCAGCCCTTTCAGGAAGTTTTCCTCATCTTGTCTGAGCTCCTGAAACCCTTCTATCAACCTTTGAAACAAGGCCTTCTCGGTCTCCTCCACTTTCTCCACCTCCTCTTCAACCTCTTTTACTATTGTTTTCTCTCCTTCTTCCACTGTCTTCTCCAATCTCTCTACAAGGGGAGGTTCAGGTCCGCAACTATTGTCCGTCCTGATGAACGTGTTGAAGTCGCGTCCTACGCTTTGAGCTGCTCTTTCTAATTCAGGTACAATGCTTTCAGGTAAAACTGCATTTCTTGTGTACACAACAGCACCACCGTATCCATCCCATGCATCATTGCTGCCTCGGTAATATACAAATACATAGTCATCCTGTTTATTCTCTATTTTGGAAGACAGAATATACCTGCATAAGTTATTTAAGTTATAGATTGGTAAGTCTCTAAGTTGCATAGTACAATCATGAGGCCCAAATCCATCACACACACGCCTATTGCAGTTGGAAGTATGAAACCCAAATCCATACCCATGGAAATATGACTTCCCAATCGGCTAAGAGAGTAACTTTGTTCAGGTGTGACAATACATCCATGCCTTGTCAAGATTCAATAAAAAATGCATCACCTTCAGGTTGAGTTATGTACACGAGATGGGGGCAAAACTTTGTAAGATTAAATTACTCATCTTTTGGAGTAGCTGAATTCAAATTTATAAAATCAATACAGATCCTGATTTTGCCATTCTTTTTTATTACAGGATGATTTTTGTGAAACATCATACGGCAGGTTGTGGCTCTCTCAAAGCTAATTTTTCTTGGATAATTATGAATTTTTTGGCACCAATCTTGTCTGTTAGAAAAAATAATCAACTCTAATATACTATACTATTTGAATAAAAATCTTTGATTAACTTTTGACAATCATATTTCTGTAGTAAAGGGTACTGACAGTCGACAATTTCTCTTTTTTGTGATGATTTTGTAGTTGTCGCAGACATTTGTTATTCAGAACGACCCCACAACGAAAAAACTTCGTTGTGATTGATTTTTTGTGATGAATTTTACTCTTTCTATGACAAATCATTTCGTGAATCCCATCTGATGCATTTATGTTAGGCATCAATACACAAGCATTTACCCATGTCATAAATATCACAATTATTATTTTTTGTAACAAAACATAGTTCATCATCGTCATCCTTGCCTTAATCCCATGTGAATGTGATCAACCACATGAATTCTCGTTTTATATTCTTTTCTACTACAAGACATTTCCACTATAATATTTAACTTTTTAAAATCATTTCTAATGATTTTGTTCCATGCTAACTTTGGTCGCTCTCTCTGGCCCCTATCTTCCATGCAAATTAGTATTCCTTTTCCCAACTCAAGTCAATTAAGCATTTCCCCAATTACTTGGGGTCAACTACATGAATCCCGTTTTTATATTTTGTTCTCCTAAGAACATAATCTCAATTAAACCACATGTCATTAAATCTATCCTTACTAACTCTACCGATGTAGTTTTAGTGTTTCTCTTCTCCTAGCATTACCCTCAATGTGGACCATGTCACTCTTTCTAAATGGTGCACTTAATGGTCTTCTTTGCACATGCCGAAACAATTTTAATTGATATTCTCTCACTTTATATCCAATTGTGCTACTTCAACCATCTCATGAATTTGTTCATTTCTAACATTATCCTTGTATTGCTGCATATCCATCTCAACATTCGCATTTCCGCTATATACACTTTATGAATATATTATTTCTTAGCTAGGCAACATTATGCCCATTATGAACGGCCTAATAGGATTTTCCTGTCAATCTTAAAGGGTGCAAATCACACAATATCTCAGATGCAGTCCTCCATTTAACCCACCTTGCCTTAATTCCATGACTAACATCATATCTAATTTCTCTTTCCTTGTAATAACCAAACCTAAATAGCAGAAGCATTCACTTTTTGGTATCTCTTGATCCTCAATATTTACAACATCCTTATTTGTAATTCTGGATTTGCTACACTTATGTTTCATATATTCAATTTTAATCCCACTTAGCTTAAATCCTTTTAGTTATATGTCTCTAGGCCTTCAAATAAGAACTTACACCTTCTCCAGTTTAATAATTAAAACAATATCATTAGCAAATAACATACACAATAAAAGAGCTTAATGCTGTCCCTAGATGTAAGCTTACAATATTTGGAGCTAAATTCATTTGTTTCTTCCACAATCATTCTAACTATAGTCACGGTTCTATCATACACATCCTGCATATCATGTCAATATATTCTAAAACCCCCCACATTTTATTTCTAGAAATCCTTAAATCTCTAAAACCAAATGAAATCTTTCTTCTTCTTCTTCCTATATCTTTTCCATTACTCTCTTACATATGTAAAGATAGCCTCCATTATAGACCTCCCAGGTATAAATATCCAAATTGATTTTCCACACTTCAGTTTCCGTATTAATCTTGGTTCATTTACTCTCTACTCAAGTTTCATAGTATGGCTCATCTATTATTATACCATGATAATTAGTACAATTTTGAATATACCCCTTATTTTATAAATAGACACTATAATACTTTTTAACGCTAAGGAAGAATAAAGTCAATATATGGTAAAAAAATAATTCATGTGTTCCAAATGCGCAGTATATGCAGCGTGTGAGTGCTTTAAGAAATAAGAACTTAAAATAAATAATAATAAAAACTGATTTATTTTGAAAGCTTTAACTAATTTATAGGGAAATTGATACAGAAGCATCCAAGAGGTTCTCTGTGTTTTTAGACCAAAGATGCAAGGAAGGAGCCAGCATCCTAAACACTAGTTCTGATCAATTACCAGATTTGGACTGACCTTTTTACTGAAATAAGTCTTGTTCATGTTTCAACTTCCAAGGCAGTACCAAATATGTATACAAGGTTTCACAATTTTTTATACGCTTCCAAAGTTTCCATTTTGGGGCAAATAATTCTTATCTGAAATGGAAGGGTAAACTGAAATTTATTTATGAGAGCACCATTAAGCTCCCGTCGCATCACTTCTCAATTTTCAAATAAACTAATATTTTATGATAAGATTCAAATTAACTGTATACTAGTATTTTTTAAAAGATTATAATTGACGAGAGAAATTCAGCACATATAACCCATTAAGCTTAAAGATAAAAATAAAATAAAAAGAAGAGTGTAGCAAAAACAATTAGCAAATCCACACTCAGTGGTAGAGCCACATAGAGCTGAGTGGGAGTAGTTACCCAAAACTTGCCCCCTCCCAAAATTGTTTAAAAATTGTTTAGCTTGGGGGTTCCAACCCTTTCTTCCAAATTCTCTATGCCCCTCATTCTCCTGACCTACACAAAGTTCATCTCCTCTATTTCTCCAACGGCAAAAGCACAAAGTGAAGAATTATTATTAAAAAAAAAAAATTATAAATCAGTAGATTTATCGACCCTAACCTGGTATGCAAGAAACCCTAATCCCCCTTTTCTCCAATATTGTTCCTTCTGCAAAATAAGATTTTAATTTTGAAAAACCAAAAAGAAAAAGAAAAAAGAGCAAGATTTTGTTAACATCAGAAGATTGTTTGAGAAAAACATTTGATGGCATTCATAATGACATTATTATAGAACACTTTCAAGCGTTAAAAAGTCAATGAGGATAATAATAAAAATGTATTGAATGAATGTCTTATAAATCATTATTAAATTTTATTATTTATTGTTTTGGTTAAAAAAATATATATCTTGTTATTGTTCATGATCGCCCCCACTAAAGTAAATTTCTGGCTCTGCCATTGTCCACACACATAAATAGATATATATACACACACATGCAAGCATGCATACATGCAAAGAACAATAAAGGCAGTAGTAAAATTTCAGGACAGAGATACCAGTCATCTTGGTAGTGAAGATATTCATTGTCATGATTGTAGAGTATTCCAGGATAGGTTGGATCTTGCGCAAATCTTTGCATAGCTGATCGAGTGAAGAAGCCACCATCTGGAGTTCGTATTCGCCATGACAAATTTCCCACAAGTTTGTTGGATTCTGTATGGAACTCATGTAATTGGCAATTAAAAGCATCAAAGGTAGGATTCAAACCACTAGTTATGAACCACTTTCCACTGAAATCTTCAATGTTAAAGTTCTTAACAAGAACAGCAGGATCAGGGATAGGAAATTCCCCCACATCAGATTTCTGGGGTACGCATTTCTTTCGTGAGACTGCACACTCATTGAACTCGTCTACAACACTGTTTTCAAACAAATCCCCACATTTAATCTGCAAAAGGAAAAGGGAACAGAAACTTTGCGGATCAGAGTTAATCTTCCTCGAGCATAAAGTTGTACAAAATGTCTTCATTTAAACATGTGGAACTAGCCTGGCATTCAGTCTCATCAGGTCGATTGTTGCAGGTTTGAAGACACGCAACATTTGCTGCACATGATGGGTTTGCAATACACTTGGCAAGTTCCAACCTGACAAGATGAAGAAAACCTCTACCAACTCAGGAGATATTATAACAAAAATGTTGGCTATATATTTTAGGAAAAATATTTTTAACTCTTCCATTTTACAAAAAACTAGTTAATCAGTGAAGATGATTTCTTCAAAGATCAAATTTTCTGACACATGGCCTGGCCTCTATATAAAACAAGAGAAAGTCAAGTAAGTTTGGTCATGTATAGTGAAAACCAATAATTCCACTAATGGGGGATAGTTATATGGTCTGCATTGAGGGTTTGATAAGGGAAGGGGACGAACATGGGTTGAGATAGTAAAGATATATATGTTGCATATGATTTGACAGAAATAATAACCATACATTAAGCAAAATGGTGAGACAGAACTCAATCTGAGTTGACAAGTTAAGCATAAATAATAAGATTGTCCATCTTTTTGCCCCTCTCTCTCTCTCTCATTTTTTTTTCCCACGTGTGTGTGTGGAAGATAGTAGTAAATCAGTGGCATTATTATTATGTTTTAATTCGACTATCGTAGGTGAAGTAAGTGGACACCATTCACCATTTCCAGAAACATTTAAAACTAGTTTGGATGCAATACCTGCACTCCTTCAGCAAGCAAGCACAAGTTTTAAGGGCATCTACAGCATCAGCTGCTGGAATGACCAAGAATGCGCATGCAACTACGACAACTACTTTTAAGAATTGTCTCTTCAGAACATTTGGTATTGCTGCCAATTGAAATTTAACTATCCTGTTTTCCTATAAAAGAAAAGAATTAAAAATAGATTATTTTTCTAAAGATAAAGTAAAATTCAAGAAACATAACAATTTGCATTGAAAAACCAAGAGCAAGTATATATGAAAAGCTACCTGAGGTATACTCGTATTATTGCTACACACTGACAAAATTTTCTTGGCCGGCTCCAATCCAGAACATATTCTATAAGATCTTAAAAGCCCAAAATATCTTGGCCTTCTGTTATTAGACCACATTCTCACCATAACTACACCACAATTAGGAGCAAGCCCCCTCTTCCTATACCTATCGTCACCAATAAGTAGTGATCTGGAACACAAGCCAATGCTTTCATCACTGGAGAGGTTGATTGAATATGCAGAAAATGCCATATTGCAATGCCTTGATTCCTGAATGCAACCTGAGGAGACTCAAATAAATCAGTGATCCATTCTTTTCATTTTTCTTTAATTTATTTGAATATTCTTCTTTTCAAGCGTCAGCCGTCAGGCATGTCAAATCCCCAAATAGAAGAACACGTGGATTCTGCCAAATATTCATATTTTTTATATGTTTTATTTTATTTTATTTATTAGTGTAAAATAATGGCTTTATGTAACATAGTGTCTAATATAAGCATTTCATTCATTTTGAAGTAATAATTTAATAAAACTGAATTATTAGATGTATTTCTTAGTTGTATGTCCATCCAAAAGTGTTGGACAGATATTCCATGCCCATGTCGAGTATTGTGTGTATGACACAGGTACTTCACCTTCAAAACACATGTAACATAGCTTGGGAGAGAGAGTTCGGATTAACTCCTACCCCTCTCAGGGTTTGATTTGATTTTGCACACCAATTCGGGTGTCTAATCTCATTTGGTTGATTCACATAACAATTTTGGTACACTTTTTAGTCAAATCCATAGTAATATAATCTCTACTATTTTAGTAAATAATTGATTATGCATAAAAAAATAAAAATAAAAAATCTTATATCCAGTGTTGCATAATCTTATAGTAAAAGGAAAGGAATTGCATTTTCTTACTAGATTTTTCCCTTATATTTGGCTTTCTTATCAAACCAGAATTAATTTATGCTTCCAGGGTACCAACAATAAGGAGAATTTCACAAACATTTACAGTACAAAAATTGGTGTTAGAGCTTGGTGAAAATTCAAAATAACAAACTTTTTCCCTTCAGAAATCACCTAATACACAATGTCATTAATGGTCATAATGAAAATCTGTGTATTATCCATGGACTAATTCTTATTGCATATGAAATTAAACTTGGAAACAAAGACAATGAGTAGTAAACACCCATCAAAACAAAAGTTCTAAGCAATTGAACACAAGGGTTAATAGAAAATACATATTCAGGTTAAAAAAAAAATAGATAAACAAAAAAAACAAAAACAAAAAAAACCCAAGTTCAGAAATATAGAGACAGAAATGCAAGATTGAGAGAGGGGCACAGAGAGAGAACCAGAGAGAGAGAGAGAGAGATGGGTTTAATTGAAGCAGACCTTGGGGAGGTGAAGCAGCGCAAAAATGGTAGATTTAGAGGAGGCCACGCTTTTCATTGCAGAAAATAGTTGGAGGGAATGGAATGTGGGAGATGAGTGTGGAATTTGGAAGGGAGTGAAGTCGGATAAGATAATTCGTGTGGAGAGTAGCCCTGTAACGTATTGCCAAAACTAGGACCAACTAACTTGGGGATTGTTTGAATCGGGTTATAAATGTTTTATGTTCCTTTTGTGTCAAACAAGGTCGAAGGTGGTTCACGTAAGTCTATCAATAGATCGAATTCAGATCGGATGGATTAAATTCATATTTAATTTGTTAAGCAAATAAATTATCGGATTCGGATCACTAACGAATTCTCGAACTGAATGTCCCAATCCATATCCATTTAGCTCGGACTCGAATCGAATAGGATTTGAATTCGGATTAAATTCATATTTACATAATGTTATATCATATAACTATGCAACCAAATGAATATAATGATAAATAATTAATATATATATATATATATATATATATATATATATTTAGTAATATATAACTAATATATATATATAATTGATATATAATATAAATAATTAATATATAATATATTGTAAATTATTTATTTTTTGTTAATGAATAAAGAGTACGATATTATTAGTATGTATATTAAGAGATTTATTAACATGTGGATAAGAACACCACACTATTGTATATATAACATTATGAATTTTTTTTTTGGATTTTTGGGTTACCTCTAATACAATTTTAATAGGAGTACTGAAATATATATATATATATATATATATATATATATATATATAAATTTAGTAATATATAACTAATATATATATATAATTGATATATAATATATTGTAAATTATTTATTCTTTGTTAATGAATAAAGAGTATGATATTATTAGTATGTATATTAAAAGATTTATTAGCATGTGGATGAGAACACCACACTATTGTATATATAACATTATGAATTTTTTTTTTTATCAATACTCCTATTAAAATTGTATTAGAGGTAACCCAAAAATCCAAAAAAAAAAAAAAAAAAAAAAAAAAATTCATAATGTTATATATACAATAGTGTGGTGTTCTCATCCACATGCTAATAAATCTCTTAATATACATACTAATAATATCATACTCTTTATTCATTAACAAAGAATAAATAATTTACAATATATTATATATCAAATTTATATATATATTACTAAATTTATATATATATATATATATGTATATATATATATATATATATATATATATATATATATATTAATTGATATATCAATACTCCTATTAAAATTGTATTAGAGGTAACCCAAAAATTCAAAAAAAAAAATAATAATAAAAATTCATAATGTTATATATACAATAGTGTGGTGTTCTCATCCACATGCTAATAAATCTCTTAATATACATACTAATAATATCATACTCTTTATTCATTAACAAAGAATAAATAATTTACAATATATTATATATCAATTATATATATATATTAGTTATATATTACTAAATTTATATATATATATTAATTGATATATTAGTATATATATCAATACTCCTATTAAAATTGTATTAGAGATAACCCAAAAATCCAAAAAAAAAAAAAAAAAAAAAAAAAATTATAATGTTATATATACAATAGTGTGGTGTTCTCATCCACATGCTAATAAATCTCTTAATATACATACTAATAATATCATAATCTTTATTCATTAACAAAGAATAAATAATTTACAATATATTATATATCAATTTTTATATATATTAGTTATATATTACTAAATTTATATATATATACACACACACACACACATATACATATATGTAAAATTATTGATAAATAATTATATATATAATTTTAATCGGATCGGATCGAATTATTAACGAATCGGATCAGCATAATTCATATCCGATTTGTTAAGTTAACAAATTATCGGATTTGGATCGTAATCGGGTTATCGGTTTTTTTGTACAATCCATATCCGACTAATTGAATCGGATTCGGATCATATCCGAATCAGGATCCGCTTCATTGACAGGTCCGTTCACAGGAATCCAAATTGGGTGCACAAAAAACTGGTAGAACCAGTTGCAAAAAATTGGGTGCCCAACATAAATGCTTTGCGGCAAAATTTAAGCCACACATTATAAATTAGAGTGAGAGTGAGAGTGAGAGTGCACTCGAAATGTGTGAGTAATATCCATTGAAAAAAAAAAATTGTAACTTAGAGTAGAACCAGTAAATTAGATCAGATTGGACCTGGAATTGAATCATATGATTTAATTCAATTTTATGATGAAATTATTTGGTTTCAATTCTAGAAGTTAAAGAAAAATAATAGTTTCATTCCAATTTTACTCATTTGCCTCAAAAGGTATTTAAACTCTCTATTTATTTTGAGAGATAAAAGAAAATACTACTAAACTACAAGTCACTTGATAAATGTTTATATTACAATTTATTTGTAAATATATATCCACGTACATGTGACCTTATTACTTTTTGAACAGTATATTTAAAATTAAAATGAAAAATTGATTAGATAACTCTTGTAATAATTATGGAAAGGTTTTACTAAATAATTAACACAAAGATTATTTAATAAAAATTGGGTGACAAGATTGAAAGGTTTACCTCCTTTTGGTCGCGTGATTTGGTTTTTTTATTCTTCCAATTAAAGAAAAAGCAAAAACCTCAAAAATAACTTACCTAAGAAAAATACATAATTAAAGGGGTATAATGGTCATTATGACAATGTGGAACAATTTGTGCTATCATACAGTACACATGATTTGATGTTGGGTTTAACTCCTTTTCGTATGATTTGAGTCATACAAAAGTAATTCACATTGACATTTGAAAGTTAGATTATGAAATGAAATTCACAGGTCCAAAAAAAAAAATTGTTGTCGTCGAATTAAAATCAAATTGATTTTAAAATTTTCTCAATTAATACGTATTACAATTCTTAATAATTGGTCATCCTTGAAAAAAAAAAAAAAAAAAAGTGCTGTTAATATTGATATTTTCTTTTATAAATTTTTAATGACAAAAATACCCTCAAATGAGTATCCGTACATGCCACGATCATGGAATGCTAGACTGCCTCAATAGAATTTGTGGATTGATTGTATTGAATTGAATCTTAAGTTGATATAATATATATATATATATATACACACATATGCTAGCTACATGGCTTTTACTAAGGTTGCTATATATGTCACTGTCACATTTTTATAATCCCACGTACCTAGGTAATCCATCAGACACATCGATGATTGAGAATTTATTAATATGAATTTTCTTGTAAATACATCTCATGCATATATGGACGCATGGTTCTTGTTATGTACCAAGAACAAAATAGATGCTAACATGCAAATGAACTCAACGGTTATCACAAGGTTTTAAATCCATAAATGAAACATATATATATATATATTAGATGCATGTTGATCAATATAAGAATCTCATTTGGAAGCAACCTAGCTTGAGGTTGCTCATACGTACATATATAACAACAGTACTTTCTTTCATTTGTGTGTGTATATGTGTGTGTGCATGGGCAAGCAATATTAATGTAAAGGAGATCGAGATGAAAACAAGATCATATTTATCATCCAAGCTCATCATCACCCTGTTACGGCTTACATCCATGCTCATCATCCCTGCGTTTTCACTTGAATTGCCCTTGTCGTTGTTGTCGTCGTCACCTGAAGATCATCTTGGTAGTAGCTCTTGTTTCTCTGCTATTTAATTACAGTACTTTTGAGTTTTAATTGTGTTTTGGGAAAGAGCTTGCATATATGTCTGATTGCAGATTCAAAACAAATCTCAAATGCTTTGAATATATTAGAGCCGTTCAATTTTCAATTCACTCGTGTTTTGACTGGCAAACTCCTCCAGATGCATCACAAAACTAATTCAATACAATTGGACAACGCTTTAAACATATATACTGCATGTATGTGTATGGATAGTATGATTTCAAAAGATATACACGATGTATTAATAATGTCAACTCTCATCATGTGATGATGTAATCTTAATTCTTGATGGATTAATCCAAACTGTTTTAAGATATGTTAAACTACGCGTACCTCTAACTTTCAAAATAAAAAATAATAATAAAAAAATAATACTCTTGTGTCCGATCAAATGATTCAGACCTTAGTTCACAATGTTTGAAAAACTATGATTAACCTATCTTAGGGTTTGACATAATTATCCTAACGACCCCGAGGCATCTGTTAGAGATTATACATTCGTGAAGTGAATTAATCTTACTTGAACACGAATATACTCTCTCGAATAATTTTGATAATTCAAACCAATAATAGTAGTTGAAGGGTTTTTCTTTCTTGCAACTGTAGGGCTTTAGACTTAACTATTTTTCTTTTTTGATAACCGGATGTCCGGAGTTTTGTCCCGTCTAATCCACAATACAAGCACTCTCACAAACTGAGTGAAGTTCAAACTATGTCCGAAGACTATTTTAAACTTAACTTATGGGCTCAAAATTCATTTTCGCTCTCTCTTTTGGTGTTTCAACGATTTTAATTGGAGAAAACAAAAGGGGGAATAAACCAAATTTTTGAATCTTACATACAAAATTAGTAACTTGTAACACGAAACCATTCGCTCATTGGGGCTCGTTTGACAACCACAGTTGCTTTATGCTTTTACTTTGACCCGAAGCAGAAGTAATGTTTCAGTTTTTAGAGTGTATTCAACACTATTAGAAGCTTGTTTAGTAACGTAAATTTGTTACAAGATTTTTAGAAGCAAAAACATGAGAGTATGTTTGATAAAAAGTGTTAAAGTTTGAATGGTTAGTTAAAAATATTATTTTAAATTTTTTTTTTTTTTTTATAATAGTGTTTTGTGCTGAAGTAAACAAAAGCATCATTTTGATGCTTTCGATTTTTGCGTCAATTTTGGAAGCGCTTCAATACTATTCAAAAGCAGCAAATATTACATGACATGCTATTGTAGAATTGTTTCATTTAAGGCCCCTATTCAGTGGTATGAAATTGGAGTTTCATAATTAAAATTGAAAAAAAAAAAAAATTTGATTCATTCTGGAATTCTACCAATCTCCAGCTTAAATGAATTTTATTTTCTGAATAAAAGAAAAGTTGCACAATTTAACTCTCTCTTAACCAAAAAGTTTTGCCCGAGAAATCGAATCGAACCAATGGTTCAAAACTAAAACCCAAACCCAAAAACTGGAGCTTTTACCGGCAAAAAGGAGATGTAGACTCAGACGAATGCGCTGACGGAGAAGGCGAAACGATGGTTGAATGGGCCGACGGTCGTTGTCCGTTCTCGCTGTTGCTGTTGTTGGTTTTGAGCCTTTTTTCTTGTATTGCCTTCAAGGTATTTGATAAAATGTTAATCTCGATATTTCTCTCTCAATTTCATTAGTGTCCTTTTCTTCCTCCATTGCCGGCGGATGTGGTGGCGGTGCAGCGGAGTTGTTGGTGGTGGTGTATTGTGTGCTCTTTGCCTACATTACCAACGCTAGCATCCAACGCCTAAGAATTTCGTAACATTTTTAGTGTGGGCAAAATGGAACAGTTCATAGCTGCCATTATTATTTATTTTTTTCATATCAGATAATTTACCATTTAGTTTCAATGACCTTTTTATGTAAGGTGACAATGAAAATGAATCAGCTAAATAGAAGCCATTTCAATTTTTTTTGACCAACAAGAATGGCATAGTGCTTATTTGAGGATGCAGTTTGAGACGTTAAAAGGGTTTATAATTTGAGAACTCACTTGTGGTTGTGCATATAGTGTGGTACAAGAAAAGTTCTTTTTTGTCCTAGAGCTTTTAAGTGTACAAGCTTAATTTTGGCATAAGCTCAAATTCCGTACTTTTGAAATTATAGCTGCAAGTACAGCTAAAATTTATAGGAGGAATATATTTGTTCGGTTTTAAACGTTGAATCAGGTTATCAAACAACACCATTAACGTTTAACAACCACTACTACTAATTATTACGACTTTTACAAAAAAAAGTTAATAGTAAATCATTTGAAGGTGCAACAACATCAAACAAGCTATTAAACTACTTAATAAATGTTATCTAGAAGCAATTCTTCAAGTTTGTAGAAACTAACCAGTTCTGATTGATACATTATTGCAGCTTGTATGTTAAACTTCACTTCATTCCCATACCAACCGAGTGGTGAATGCATTGGATCCCAAGAAACGATCAACAAGTGGGGCAGCTTTCCCACAACCCTTTGCTGTCAAAATGCCCTCACTGTTCTGTCAAAGGCATTGGCACAGCAGGCAAGAATTGGGGATGGACACATCTTCTTAGATGAAGCTCACTGGAGAAACTGTAGCGGTTCCTTTACGCGACAGCACTCTGTTTCTGTGCAGTCATGTGGCTTCTATGATCTCTTCCATGGAAGCAGCAAATGCTCTAGCATTTCTTTGTCAAAATTTAAGCACAACCAAACCTATCAAGATGCCTCAAACGAGTGTAACCAATTAAAGTACTCTTCATTCGATGAGGCTTGCCGGGGTTGTGCTAATGCAGTAGTAAAAGAAACGGATGTTCTATTAAAGGAGTTCAAAGGAATTGGAAATGACAGAGAAAAAGGGATATGTGGCTTGGCAGTTGTTGTTTCTGTTGCTGCTGGGATATTGGATGATCACCCCTTACTAATGGATTTCTATAGTTGTTTATCTTCCTTGGATGTGTTGGGTAAGAACTGTTTTCAGATAACAAAATTTGAAACAAGTTTCCACTAGATATTGTCTATTCCCAAACCATTTTTTTTCCCCGACTATTCAAGCAAACGTACACACACCCACAATATTGCCCCGAGCAGGGCTCAAACACTCAAGCTCCCCTTTGTAGAGGAGAGATCATACTATCTGACTGATGCCCATTGGTCCCAGACCTTTTTTTTCACTTGCCAAATGGCTAAACAAAAGGTATGGCTATTAAACATGAAAAAATCCCTTAGTTTGCACCATGCTCTGTTACAAACAATTCCTCCGATTTTGGTTGTGGGATTGAAGTATCATCAAGTTCAGCTTTTTAATATTTATCCTATCTATGTTCCGAATTTTGACTCGGTTAATTTGTTTCTTCAAACAGAACCAGGATACATCAAAATAAAATGTAAGTCCTGCTTCATTTCTTTGTCCTCCTTCTAGATAAGCTAACTTGCATACATATTACAATGATGTGACCATATGTCATTTATCTTATCAGTTTCAGTTGCAAAAACAATATTGGCCAGTCTAGCTGCAAGCATTGGACTAATGCTGATTGTTCTACTGACAAAATGTGTAAAGAACAAACATGGGTCGGAATTTTTGGTAACGAAGAAAAGCACCAAGGTTGTGACATGGCCTGACCTCTATATATTTTCCAAGGCTGAGATTGAGAAAGCGATAAATTTTGTTAACGAAAGAGAGATTATCGGACGAGGAAATGCAGGTATTGTTTACAAAGGCATTCTTCCCAGTGGACAAGTTGTGGCCATCAAGGAGATAAGGAGCACTGTGTCTGATTCTTTCCTTGTGGAAGGTGAAACTCTTTCAAGAGTTCGACACCTGAATCTAGTGTCTCCCCTTGGTTACTGCATGGAAGAGGACTACATGTATTTAGTCTATGAATATTGTTCAGCGGGAAATCTAGCTCAACATCTACTAAGTAAGTTACTCCCTTTGATTAATTTAGTTTTTGTTTGGAGTTATTTGGTTAGCATTTTGGATGAAAATAAATCAATGCAACTTTGTTTTCAAATTAGAGTGAGAACCAGAACTTTAGAAGTACTAATAAACAAGAGGACAACCAATTTTTTTTTGAAGAAATTTGTTAAGTTATGATGTAAAAAAAGTTATATTGTACATCCATCAGTATCTTCTTGTATGTTCCATCTTTTAATGTGTATCATTCATGCCAAAAGTTGGTTCAGATTTCTAAAAACTGTTTTCAAGATTCCAGAAAACAGAATACTGTTTTCAGAGAACTATAACATACAATTCTCTAAAACCTGTCCTTTTTTTAAGGGGAGTTTTCAGAAAACAAATTACTCTAAACTCTTGATGCACGCAATCGTCTGCAAATCACATGGATCAATGAAACCCATGCCTCACCTTCGGTGAGACTCGAACCAAACCCAAAAACCTTACAGTCAAGCTGCCCGTGTAGGATAATATAATCCAATAACTGAATTGATAAAAGATGATTTTATTTTAGTATAAAATATTGAGAGGTAAAAGATTATGTATTCAAGTAAGTTAATCTCTTTTCTATCTAATAGACTGTGTATTGATTTTGTGTTGATGTTCAGGGAAGGACACTGTCTTAACATGGGAAAGAAGAGTTAAGATCCTAAGGGACTGTGCATGTGCCCTGAAGTATCTCCACAATTATATAGATGGCTCCATTGTTCACAGAGATATTAAGGTAATGAACATGCATAATATATACATATTGTGTATGTATTCTTTTAACTACTAATTTTATTGAACCATAACATCTCACTTAATGATTTATGCATTATTTTTCACAAGGCACTTGGAAATAATCCAGTAAGGTTTCTTGCTTTTCTACAATCCTATCTCTTTTGAACTAATATGGGACCTTTTTTTTGAGGATTTGAGAATGCCACAATCTTTATTGTGACACTCCATTTCTTTTAATAGTTGAATCCATCTCATATTTCCATATTTTGATTTCCAAGTTGGCTCTACATTGAGGCTATTAATTTTTTTTCATAGGTAGTTGAACAAGTGATGACTTGACGCGTTTCTAATCGTTGGATGTATGCTTTGCGATGATTGGATAGACAAACTGTTGGAGAGGAGACATGGATCATCTCCAATAGTTTTTCTCCAAGCATCTCCAAATTGACCAACATCCAATAGTTAGTTAGGAACATGCCTTGTCATCATTTTTGTTGGTATGAAGTTGTGCATGAAACCATACATAATGGGTAGTTGAACAAGTGATGACATGGCATGTTTCTAGCCGTTGGATGTTAGCTTGGAGAGAAAATCTATTGAAGAGGATCCATTTACATATATAATAAGACCCCATGTCGACAGGAATGCTCCATATTTTCCTAATCTTGTGTCCAACTAATTTTTAGTCAGAGATCTGAAAATTTTAGAAGACAATATGGCAATTACATTCAGGCAAAAAAAAAAAAAAAAAATGACATGGCAATTAAATTTAATAAGTAAAGGATAACAAAGAGTTATAACTACTAAAAAAGATGAAGGAGAAACTAGCTAAAAGGAAAAATCAGTTGATGATAAATGCATTGCTATATTTTTGCTATAATTTTTTCTTAACCGGAAATTATATTTGCTATTAGCTATTATTCCATCTAGAAAGATTGTAGTTAAAATGGAAATGAAACATTATTTTGTAAAAAATGTACAATTTTAGAAATAAATAGTAAAATTCAACATTGAAGAATCTTTTAGAATATTGATACTTTTAAAGATTCTAAAGGCTGTAACCTAGTGGTATTTTCTCGTCCTTCAAGAGGGTTCAAGTCTCCACAGGAGTAAAGTGCATGTGTGAGTTTCAAATAAAAAAGAAAAAATAAAAGGTAAAGTCCTTTAACAATGTTGCATATTTGGTTCATAGCTAACAAGCATCCTTCTGACTGAGAGCATGGAAGCGAAGCTGACTGGTTTTGGGTTGGCGAAGATGATGGGGATGGATGAGAATAAATTATTTACAGAGATCTGGGGAACCATAGGCTATTTGGATCCTGAATATATGGGCACTGCTATGCTCACTTGTGCCAGTGACATCTACAACTTTGGTATTGTTGCTCTACAACTTCTATCTGGACAAAAAGTATTTGAGCTTGATGTTGATGCCAGTGACCAACTGGCAAGAAAGGTACTTTTCGTAGGTTTGCATCTATGTATAAAATCTATTACATTGTTAGACTATATTCATATTACGCATATACCTAGCCCGCCAAACTTAGTACTTTATAACTAATATTTTAAAAATTCTATAAATTATTTGTAATACATTTCCAATTTTTTTTTTTAAAGCACTCGTACATGTACAAAAATGACCACTATGAAGCTCAAATCCTAATGTCTTTTATACGACATAGACAGAGCAATGCACGGATCGTTTTTAATAATAAGATCAGGAAAGTAATAAACAAGAAAAACAGCTCATTTCCAGTAGATGTGAGTATGCTAAGCTGTATTTGAGTGTCTGTGCACATATCGTTTTTAATAATAAAATCAGGAAAGTAAAAAATAAGAAAAACAGCTCATTTCCAGAAGTTGTGAGTATGCTAAGCTGTGTTTGAGTCTGTGTGCAGGCAAAGGATGTGACTCTTGGGAAACGTCCGCTAAGGGATATCCGAGACCGGCAGCTGAATGGAGACTTTAATGTTGTAGACTTTGGATGCATATTAGATATTGCAGTGCTGTGTGTTTCCAGATCAAGCGCAGATCGACCGACCATAGATGTGGTCTTCGAAGAGATGGAAGAGGCTTGGAACAACACCCTTGCTGATATGGTAATTGGTTCTGTTGCTTTATTCATTCATATAACATTTTGGCCACCATGCACCACATTCACATAAATACATATCGTTTTTGAGAAGTCTCACTTACTTCAAGAGTGGAACCAATCTTTAAGTCTGTAAGTGAGCCGAGCTTTTGACTGTTGGAGCTCTAACTCGAATATGAACTATAGTCGAGCTTAAAGCCTTAACTATGAATGTCTGACTAAATACAAGAGTTATGTTCATTAGTCTAATGACTTGCGTTATGAGTTATTAGGTTCAACTCATTTACTAGACCAGTTTAGAAAATGAGTCGATCTTTAAACGAGTCAGCCAAAACTATTCACGAATAACTCAATTCATTTGCAACATTATCTAGAATTACAATGCTACTCTAGCTGATAATTCAAACCTACAAAACTAGCCGGAGGGCTTTTATATTTATGTGTGTGTGTGTTTTAAGTGATAAACATGAGTCCCACTTAAAATATATCTGAGGGTAAATAAGCCTCCGGCTAGTGTGTAAGGTCTAACTTATCGGTTCAGATACCATTTTTCTACCCTGAAACCACCCTATATAATAAGGGTATTAGGGTTAGCCCATGACAGATTGTTGCCGTCTCTTAGTTGAACTCTCAAACAAGCTCGCACACATTGTTTTTTGGTAACTGAATTTTCACCCATTTCAAGAGTGAGCCACTCTCTATTTATGTGTATCAGATTAGTACATGACAAATTAAAGTGAAGCATAGGCTTTTATCACACACAGCAACTGTGTGGAAGCTATGAACTCATTTGAAACTTATTTTCTGTTTTGATATATATTCTGTTTGATTGCAGAGAGCAAAGAGGGCGATGAACTCATCAGAAACACCGCAGTCCAGATCATTCCAAATTATTGCACTGTGATATATATAAAGTTGGTGTTGTTTAGGAAATATATGTACTTCATAGCTATAGATTTAAAATAAAAAATAAAAAATATATTTGTATATATATTGACATAATGCTTCAAAGGACTTAAAAGAATAACATATAGAATGTTCAACGTGACAGTTGGACACAAAGAATATGCTGTGTTTTCCAAAACATTTTATTTTCTTGCGTAGGATAGATCTACTGTTCCAAATTGATTATGTTTTTTCATTACTTCATTACCCTTGTACATAGTTTGATTTATATAATCAATATGGATATTTTTTTATGAGGATGTGTACAGCACAATTTTGTGAATGTGTGGATGACCTGTCAATAAAAAATAATGAGAATAAAAAAATGAGTTGTTGATGGAAATCATATACACAGAATCAAAATATAATTCCAGAAATGTATTCCTTCGTATATATATTTTTTTATAAAGGTAATTTAGTTATGAAAAAAAGGACAAATTTCAGAATAAAACTCAATTTTTTTCACTTTTTAACGAAAAATAATGTTTGAAGAGTTTCTACAATAGTAGAGAGGTTAGTGCCAAATTGATAATTTAGGAGGATTATTTACAAATGTGAAAATTTTGAAGGTTTTTCTTATTATTATTGTTACTATTATTTTGAATTTTACCCAATATATTATTTTGAATTTTACATTAGAAAAATATATAAGAGCTTGGTTGCTCCTTGTCCTTCATTAGTACCTTTATTATTATTTTTTTTTGTTGCTCTTATATATTTTTCTTAATATATTGGTCATTTTCATTAAGAAAGTGAAAAGTACCCTTTCATGTAAAAACATATCACTAGAGATGAAACATAGTAATGTCGAAATTGATACACAAAATTAAGCATCATATCACTAATCCATTATCATAATTTGAGTGAAATCCTTAATTTTGCAACAAAGCAAGGATTTCCAGAGCATTCATTTCAAAAAAGAATTGCTCGTCACTTGCCTGAACTGAACTCCAGAAAAAGGAAAAAAATTAATAATAATAAAAACAGTTCTATTGAAGCAATATATTCATACACACATCACAATTCATCATTTGAGTAACTAACAAACCTCGCAAGTATAACATTGATACAAATTTCTCTTCCTTTTTATGTACAAACCAATCTCCTCTATTTCTTCCTATCTGTCATAAGGGAAGTCCGCGTCATTTTCGGTAACCTTGAAATGCTGGGGACACTGGCCTGAGCAATGAAGATTCCACATCTTGAAGTAAGCCCTGTCCAGATTCATCACCTGAAAATGTCGTACGAGCAAAATCATCAGCAATTCGGTCCTGTGTAGAAAGTACAAATTAAGTAGACATAAATGTTCTGTGAGTTTACCCAGCGTGTAGTGTCGAATAGGGGACAACTCAAACGGGCTGCCTTTAGTTTGCTTGTAAGAGCCTGGAGCTTTGGGCGATTCAGCGCCAAAGACACTGCCTTCTCTTCATATTCCTTCATACTGTTGGATAATAATAATGTGTCGGGAATAAGATTCATTTGACAATTTCATACTCAAAACTTCAATTGTACTGTGTCAAAGTGCCAGGCGTCGTAGAAGTACAACCATTGAAGACAATATAGGAAAAAGTTCGCAAAGAACATGGTGAGAAATCCACATCCTCAACTACGTGTCTAGGGCACAGGTAAATCGACATTATAAAGACCTTAAATGACCTAGTTTGATCTTGGAGATGCTCAAAAAAAAAAAAAAAAAAAAAAAATGAAGGATTTCAACACTACGTTAAAACTGAAAGTTTCCTGAAAAGTATAAAGCTTCAAAGGAAATATCAACCCATCGAGTAAGGTCCCATACTCACCCATCGAGTAAGGTCCCAAAGTATGGATCAAATGGTCGATCAATTGGTGGGATGACAGAGCTGAAGGTTTGAAATCCTGAAAGCATCATCGACACATCGATCAATCGAAGCTTATCCAATGGTGCTCCTGTGGAACTATATATTTGGAAACTCTCTTAAAACAGATTTATACAAGGATTCAACTTACCAAAACATATGAGTTGACTTATTTTGGCTACAAATATAAGATTATAGTCAGTCTAGGGTATGATTTTAAGCTTCTAATTATCTCTAGAGAGAATCCTCGTGAGAGAAATTTCTAATTATTCAATCTAGGGTTTTCTTGGTCACCACATATGCGATTGAGTATTCATCAAGGAGTAATTCATCAGCATATTGTCCGAAAGAACGCTCATACTCTGACCTATTCACCTCCCCTCTAGGTCTGAAAGAACACTCATACTCTGACCTATCAGAGCCATAGATGACGGTCCCTATACTTAACAATAGGTTATAGTTTCAAATCAAATTGAAAACAGAACACAGGTCTCTCTGTCAAATACAAGACAAAGTAATGCATAATCACAGAAAGAAGCACAGGGAGATTGCATATATAGCCTGCCAAAGTAACATGCTTTAGTTCTTCTTGTAATAAATAAAGCCTCTTGCAGCAGTGCAGCATAAAAGGCTAAACTTAAAAGACTCCTCGAGCCAGTTCAACGAAGAATATTTCATTGGGCACTCGAGCAGCTTATACACCAAAAAAAAATGTGGGTACTTAAAATTGATGGATCTTGCTTAAACAGCATTCAAGTGAGCAACACTCTTCTTATCATATAGGCATTTCTGTCAATGAATGTTTTGATAAAGCCAGGAAGTTCAATTGTCAAGAGTCCTACATGGGCTCTAATTCCACAAGGTTCCCATACAGCACTCTAAATTCTAATCATCTCCCACGCACAAAAAGTGAGGGATATAACTTGTCATGATCACCACCACAATTGCAAGGTGTGAAACCAACTCGTGTAAGGATCCTACCACGAGTACAGCTAAATCAAGTGTGCAGTAGCATGCTTGTGTATATAAGACTTCTCTCGATAAGTAAAATGTTTACCCATTAACAATCACATTTCTACCTGGTAACAATCATATCTTCCCCCACTCCAGTGGCAAGACATAGTGAGCCAGCAACTCTGGTAGCCATTTTCTCAAGGGGCAGTGTCACCATTGGTAAACCAGCCCATAGAATATCTGTTCCAGTGGTGTGCGCATTGCATAGAGGCCTGCCGAAGAAAAATCTCAACCATCATCATCCAAAAATCCGTGCAACAAAACTAACTCCCTGGTAATTATATATGAAAGGAAAAGGTTTCGAGTTCTTAGTGAAACAAATGAATGAACAGAAAATAAACTTACGTGTCCAAGAATAGATCAGCTAAAGCACTCCGTCTGATATGCTCACTTTTCATGGCAACATCTGTGAAAATAATTTGTTCTGTCTGTACCCCCCGTGCAAAAGCATCTGGACAAGATCAATAAAAAGAAGAAATAATAGATGACAGTAGAAATAAAAGGATGCTAAAAACCGATGACTGCTTTAGAAGCAGCTACCACGTATCAGATACTTAAGCAACTCTTCATACATGCACGAAGTCTCATTTCGCCTGCAGCCGGGAATCTGAGAAGCCAAATTGCACTATTGGGTACCCGTTTAAGTATATTGCACCTACAACAGATTAACATACAGAGTAATCATTGTGACAAATCAAAATGCAAACAATTTATCCTAACAGATTTAACATCATGCTGAAGCTACCAAGTATCGAGGATTTCAGGGTCCATCTTGTACAGCTGGTTGAAGCATGCAAAAATAAATTTATCTTCAGGCAGACCATAATCAGATCGCTTGTGATCGCAGTTCGGATCTAACACATCCAGATTTTTCTGAAATATAAAAATGACAGAAAAACAAAAATCACATTTCATGCACCTCAAACATAATTGCAAGCTATTAATAAATAGGAAAAGATTCCCTGATTCTATAGGTTCTAGTTCTAAAAATACAAACCTGTTTATAGTCATTTACAAAATAGCAGTGTGGAAGATGGACAAGCTTTTCAGAGTAAATATGCGCAGAATGCAAAGGTGAAACAAACTGAAACAAAAAAATTACATGTTAAAGAATGAAACAGAACTGAAGTCTCTAGGGTAATTATTTGAGTCAATCCACACCTCATCAGTGACCAAGTAATCTATGAAAGCTGCCCCAGTGGTCCCAGGGAACCCCATGTATGAAACCTGAATAGGTGCAGGCTTCATAGCAAATATTTCATTTCTGGCCCCCTGCATAACCACGACTGCCATTAACCCAGAGATCACAACATAAAGGTCACAAACGATTTCCAGAAAAAAGAGAGGTTCTTCATGACAACTGATAAACGTCAAAAACAGATATTGGGAACCAAGTGATGAGAAACATTAATTCAAAGCCAATGATAGCTTTAGAACTGTACCACGCAATTTTACTCAACCAAAATAATTTAACATATAAAAAAACTATGGAAGCCACATAATGTTAAACTGCTAGTTACTCAAAGTTACCATTCTGGCAGAGCTCCAGAAATATAATGGAAGATATAGAAAATTATCAGAGGACCTATACCTTGGTGTAACCATTAAGATTGACTAGGATCTGTATATTATTTTCATTTATCAATTTGGCAATCATATCTGCTGTCATGGCAGAGACATCTACAAAGTGCTCAGCTTCAGTCTGGATACGCTGCCTCCACTCAGTGCCATCATTCGGACTCAAAGCATAACAGAAAACCTACAAACACGACTTTCTTAGTTCCTGTTTGTAACTGCAGTATCAACACATGCAAGAAGAGCCTGACCCCACACTCTTGCATTGGGAACGAGCAAACACTCAACACAAACCTCAATATTTTCGTTGTTGTGCATGCCAAATACAGACCCCATAAGGTGTGACAAGGGGTGATTACCAAAGTCACTGCTAACATATCTGCAAGCGTAAAAAGAATTATAATCAGACACAGAAAGATAGAAATAAAACTATTTTATCTATAAATGGATCTCAAAACTTACCCAACCCTAAGTCTCTGATTTCCACCTTCACTCTTTATGGGTATTGGGGTGGGATGACTGAACGGAGGAAGTGCAAAACGGGATGCAATGAAGGAGCAGTGCTCTGCATATTTACAGCTACGAAAAAGAGAGGGCAGGAAACCTTGAATAAGAAGAATTGCTTCACTTTTGTACATGACATATTGGGCTAAAATAAAAATCTCACCTAATTTCAAGAGCAAGTACTGGATCAATCGGATATGCAATTGCATGAAAAGGTTGCACACTAGGAAGAACTGACATCTGAAATAAGAGTGCCAATGTAATTACAGCATTAATTGATGGTTAAAGTAAATAAGTCATAAAAGGTTGTTTGGTTGCAGAGGAAACAAAGAAGAAACGAAAAGCTTCCACATCTTATATTAGGTGAGAGAGAGAGAGAGACTAAACCTTAATCTGTCTCCTGATAATCCCTTCAACTTCAGTGAACAACTGCTCTCGTTTGTCCCAACTGCAGACACACTGGAATAGATATTTTGAATATATGAGCTGTTGCCAAGTGAACTTAAACCATATTTTTTTAAAACCAATCCATGCAAGCCTGTTTGGGTTTGGAGTCTATTTGTTCAACTCTTTGGACAGGGTTCGAGCTTTGGTATCTTGTTTGGCAAAGAACTTAAGCTTTTTACACGACAAATGCAAGAATATTCATTCAATAATACACTCTGATAATGATAACCACAAAGAACTTTCAAGTATATATTCACATCCAAACTGACATCGTATATCTGTTATCATGTTCAAGCACACAACAGAATGTAATGTGCAATATAAATAGATATAGATATTGGTTACAGCTCACAGAAGGGAAAGAGTAGTCACCTTTACTACTTGAGCTGTCAAAAGAGAGAACAATATCAACCCTCGGTTCGATCACAATTTGACACATAATATCTACCAATTTATTTGGGGGGGGGGGGGGGGGGGGGGGGGGGGGGGGGAAAGACTCCAACATCCAAGGTTGAACAACAATATGAGTCTCTCTACAAGAAGACATATTCAAACATTCTCATTGACCAGACCAGGCAATAATAGTTTTTGAACCTAATCCATCTAAGAGGACGACAAAAAAGTCAACCACCAGTAACGGTCGAACTGTCATTTATTTTACAATCATTTAGTTATAGAAGAATCTAAGGGGTCATAAATAACGGTATAAAAACCCAGGAACAAAGACCACGATTAAACTGGTTCAGTTGAAAGTGGGTCCAAATGTTCAACCAAGACCAATCTATATACTTCAATTATAATATTTAACCTATTAAATTTACATCCAACATAATTGAACTTATAATCGACATTGATTCAGGTCATCAGTGCCTAGGAGCCAAATCTCTACAGGCCTGGAGCCCACCAACGCCCAACTACCAACTAGGATACCTGACTGCAGGAGAATCAATCATAACCCCACACACGTGTTAAAAACTAATTTGTGGATAAGGATTAAAAAAAAAAATCATAATTTTAACCAACAGCACAACCTCATAAATATCTCCAATAGGTGCTTTCTAAGAACCACATACGAAGCATGAAAAACCCATTGCCATTTGAATTTATTGTATTTGACAATACCTGTAGTGTGTGCAGAAGGTTACACGTTGCTTCAGGAAAGTCAGGGCGTAAAAGCAATGCCTGTGTATAACTTTTTATAGCCACCTCCACATGTCCACTGCAAATAATTGAAATCCCATAATTATTAGTGAAATGTTACTAAACACAAACAGCCATAGTAGTACAAGTAAATTGTACCTGTCTTTATAAGCTGAAGCGAGATTGGCATGTGCTTCAGCCATTGTTGGCCGGATGGTAATTGCACGTACGTAGTCCTGAATTGCCTCACTTACTCTACCAATCTCTTTGAGGGTGTTTCCCCGATTGACAAGCCCATCAGCTGCCAATGGATCGATGCGGAGAACTTCATTATAGCAAGTTATGGCATCAGCATAGTTTCCCTGGCACGAGAACAAGAACCATGGCCAAAGTGCCCAGGAGAAATATATTAAGGATGTCCAGAATTCCAAGAAAGGACAGAGCACAGTAGTATCTCTTTTTTGTATTGCTGAATGTATTGAAAGTCAAATGCCTAATGAAAAAGTGATGAGATCAAGCTGCATGAACCTGCTGTTTATAAATTAATGCTAGATTGCTGAAAGGAGCAGACAACCCTGTTGTCACGGCAAATGTTGCCTTGTAATATGTAGCAGCAGCAGTCATCATATTCCTGCATGTTCTCTCGTAAGCATGCCATATAAGCACCAGAAATTCATTGCTACTCACATTAATCAAAATATTTGACCAATAAATTATTATATCATACCATTCCATATAAATGTTCCCAAGGTTAGTAAGTGCTTGCGGGTGGTTTGGTTGTAATGAAAGACATTGCTTCAGGCAGTAACAAAAAAACTTGTTACTTAATATTTGAGAATTCAAAAGGTAAGCAAACCATGATGAACTAAAATCGAAGGAACAGAATGACAAATGATAACCTACATGATAGCATTGGATTGCTTCATCTACTCTGCCCGCATCTTTCAGTGCATTACCCTTCCAGTAGCAACATATAAACCCAATTTCAAGTAAGCAAGATAGTAGTCCCCAATCCAAGAAAAAATCAATTATCAAGTCATCTATCATAAATGAAGAGCACGAACCAAATTATTGTATGCCTCCAAAAATCTGGGATCACATGAAATGGCTTGCTTGTAATGGAGGATGGCCGAATCCATCTGGCCTTGCTCATAATATATACTCGCTAAACTACCTGCACGATATGATATTATAACAATGTATAACAATATTGAACATAATGCAATATCTTCCTTTTCTTTTTCTTTTTTCTTTTTTTCCCATCCTGAAAGTGAAAGGAAAGACACACATGCCCACTATTGTCCAAACGGGGACTTGAACCCTTAACCTCCCATGTGGCAGGAGGAGGAGATACACTTGGGCTATGCCCTTGGTGGTATATTGCAATGTCATGTCATGCATATCCTCTATACTTAAAATAGGGAGAAATAAATGAAAAAGAAGCAAAGCAGTTGATTAGCTAAAACTTAGAAACAATTAATAACGAGTTACACATCATTACTATTCATGTATAGCAGAAACCTGTAACTGGTCCCATCGCCTTTAGACAGCCATTAATAATCAATTGCATCCACTTAGGCACACAGCAAATATGTAACCTGCTCTATCACCTTTAAACAATCATTTATAATCAATTGCATCCGCTTAGGCCCAAATTCAACCTTACAAAACTCTGCTACTACTAGGGATGAGAATTTCACGAAACATATATATTAGTAGATTCGTTCAGAAATGAAATGACTGTACAATAGAATCGAAAAGATAACAAGTCGATGTTTTTTTTTTTTTTTTTTTTTAATTTAAAATAGGGTGTGTGTGTGTGTGTTGGGGTGGGGTGGGGGAGGAGTTTTAAATCCCTCTTATAAGTATATAACTGCAAAAACAGAAACAGAAGTAAATTACTGGATACACATTAATTTTACAATCCTATCTACCATCCTTTATGCCATGACAAGATATTCGAAACAAATGAGCCTCAATAATGGTTGGCATTGCCATAAGAACCAACCAGTGGAGTGAAACAGGAAAACTACTTTACCATGTAACATCCTGGAGATCAATAAGACAGGCAAGTAATGAATGGGGGATGCATGTTCAAAATTCACAAAACCATTAATAACTAAGAAGGCAACACAGGACATTAACATCGTCATATTTCAAGTAAGCAAGGTCCAGGATTAGCTGCAACACAAGAACACTCACCAAAAGCCATTGCGTAGTCTGGCCGAGTCTCAAGAGCACGCTGATAACAAACAATAGCCTCTTGAGGCATTCCTGAAGCCTGGAAAAGGCAAAACAAATACCCTGTTTTTCTCAGAAACCAGTCTAGGCTTTTGAACTATCTCAACGTCACTGGCACAAGGCCTGACAGCTTACCTTATAAGCATTCCCAAGGTTTAGGTAAGCATCAGGAAATGTGGGTTTAAGTTTTACTGCTTCCTGAAGAAGAGATACAATCGAATAAAAAAGAGAGACAAAAAGAAATATTCAAAAAAATGAATAATTTAATGATATAAAAAGCATTTTACAAAACATCTATAAAGAAAGAGACAACCAAAACTCCTCCTATATTGCTGCATAAAGCTAACAAATCAAATATGATGGCACAACACAACCAAATGAAATTTGATCAAAAATTATGATAACATAACCTAGTGCCCCATACCTTATAATATTGAAGGGCTCTGTTAAGATCACCGGACTCCATGAAAAGACCAGCAATGTTTGACCATGCAATAGCAAAAGTTGGTTGTATATGTAAAGCCTCGAGGTAGCAACTGTAAGCCTGCACAAAATGTAAGATGCTGACAATTTGGAGTCTCGGACATGGAAGTTACAACAAGACCAACCATCATCTCAGCCCTGGCTTGTAGCTAACAACGTGATGTCTGTATCAAACTGTGATCCATAGAACTGTGATTCAGACACAGTTCCACACATGAATTACTTCCATCAGTAACTTTATGGGCAAAAGGAAAACGCATAGTACAAAGATGTAAATCTAGATAGAGTCCCTTACAGAATTCTAGATCCACCTGTTATCACTAAAACAACTTATAGGTCAGACGGGGAAAGAAACTTGAGGCCATGTTATTAGTTTAAGCATCCTGAAAACTAGGCCACCAGATAAAGTCATTATTTTATTATATTATAGATCTAGGAGATGTAAGAACCAAGGAATGTCTTCTCCTAACCATGTATCCTCTCACGTTTTTAAGTTGCGGACATGAATGCAATTGTAATGGACGCGGGGTGTGTAACGGCATTACATAATGGTATCGGGAACCGAGGTCATGAAATTTTCTAAATTTTGCACACCATCAGATACTTTGCTGACTTGACCAACTCTAAAGAGAATTGGTTAAGACTCTAGAGACTTGGAAGGAGGGGCGGAGCCAGTGTGTGCCCGGGGGGGCACATGCCCCCCTGGCCTAGCTTGGCCTGGCCCCGCCCACTACTATATATAGTTATTTTTTATTAAAAAAAAAGTTTATATGAAATTTTCTATATAATGCCCCCCTAAAACTGTAAATTTTTAAATTTTTTTTTTTTTCCTTTTCTTTTTTATTCTTCAAATTCCTCTGATTTCCTAAAAAAAAAGTTAAATTTCTCTTCTTAAATCAAGCTCTAATTTTTTTCCTTTCAAAGTTCTCATTTTCTTCTCTTTTTCCTACTACTTAAAAATTTTCTTTTTGCACTTACGTATGATATATGTAGTATGTAATTTTTTCAATGAAAATATTACTAAACGATATTTTAGTTCTTATACTTCTTTTACTACTCATTCATCTACCATATTGTTTTGCATTGATTTTTTTTTTTTCCTTTTTTTTTTTTTTTTTTTTTCTTTTTGCTTTGCTCCTTGATTTGAACAATTGATATTTGTCATGTTGGTGTTTTTTTGTTTTTTATACTGCACCCCCCCTAAATTGAAATCCTGGCTCCACCCCTGCTTGGAAGAGACTAGACTAACTCGGAAGAGACTCAACAAATTCGACCTATTCCAGTTCCCACTGATATATCCATATCAAAGGACTACGTCGAGTCTATTAGGACTTGGCCAATACACAGACTCAACTGAGTCTCAAAACCATTTCCTCCCTCACACTTCTAACGATTTTCTCTTGACCTCACGGATGACACAATAATTTTATCCCTGAAGGGATACAAGAGTTGTCCACATTACAAAATTCTAGATTAGTCACTATAAAACATTAATTTTTTTTTGATAAGTCAGTCACTATAATACATTAATAACTGGAGAAGACAGCAACATCAATTCATTATCTCAAAGATAATAAATTCCAAGCCAAAGTATCCACATTCTCCTTTCTTCTTATTTTTCATTTTTCCTTTTTTTTTTTTTTTTTTTGGGGGGGGGGGGGGGGGGGGTGTGGGGTGGGGTTGCGGGGGTTTGTTCCAACATATAAGGAAGTTGGTTAATCTATCAAAAAGCAAATTGAAAATTTAACAATGAACAACATTTTGCATGTTGGGACTTACTTCTTGGACCAAGCCTTGTGTTTTCATCAAATTCCCAAGGTTGCTATGAGCATCAACCTATGCCAATCAATAAATGAATTCAATAATAAAAGCTCGTAAAAACCAGAAAATTCTGGTGCTCTATTCAGTTGCCAAGAATAAAAAGAAGGAAATTAACAAAATAAAACAAAAGATTAGGATTCTTAATATTGTGAGCATCTTTGGTTCAATTCTCATATAGCAGATTCCAAAAACTCTGAAAAAATAAAAAATAATAATAATCTTAGAGAACTACAAAAGATGGTTATCTTAAATCAGGCCTTTTTTGAACTCAGTTTTTGGATTTTAAGAAAATGGCCAACCCAGAGATTTTTAAAACTGTTTTCTGTTTTCTAGTTCTCTGAGAACAGATAATTGTTCTTAGAAATTTGAACCAAGCAGGTCCATTGTCTCTAAACCATCTTTCTTTTTTCTCTATCTTGCAGACCACCACTCAAAGCATGAAAGAAAGGGGTAATGGAAAGGAAAATATGATATACCAAAAGAGGATTTAATAAAAGCGCCTGACGACAACATTGGGCTGCCTCATTAAGTCTTCCTTTTCTCATATATGCACTGGCTAAGTTTGACCAAGCATCACAGAAATTTGGTCGAAGCTACAGTAAGAGATGAGCCAACAAATGAAGTTAGTGCAACCATAGAGATAAAAAAATAAAAATAAAATAAAAAAAAGTTGATACAATAGAAGTCACAAAAGAAGGCCAATACAAATATACAGCAGTATGATAAAAAGAAACTATATTAGTCACATTAAGCAACAACATACAGACGTATATCATTTGTGATCAATAAATAACAACAATATAACTTGAAAAGTATAAGAATAAATCTCTCCACCTGACTGTAGATATATATGAATTAGAAGATTAGCAACGCGCCAATCCCCGGAACAATTACGGCCTTAGAAACCAGAGACAATTAAATAATTAAAAAGGAAACTTGTAAGGGATGGTCATACTTATTGGAAGTAGACCATGCCAGCTGCTTGAACAAGTGAAAGAGTAAATCGGCAGTCCAGATAAGAAGTTGAACTGAAGGTTCTATACATCAAATGCTTCAAACTCGTGTCAGAGACATAGTATTGAAGGGAAAACTCTAGCCATCTGCAACTTCTAGTACATTTTTGAAACCTATTCAACTTTTTCAAGAATCAATTCTAATACTATGCAAACAGATGCCTGGTTGATCACCCTCTGAAACTGACTTTTTCACAATTAAATTCAATTGACTGAACAAAACATATGATCTGTGTTTCTTTGCCAACATGATCATATATAAATATACATTTTACATATAATCGATAAAAGGTGCCTAATAAAAAACAACCCAAGTTAATTTTATATATATATATTTTGCTTCAATTTATAAATTATACCTAAAGATAATTAATGAAATGAAATTGTTTTTTTAGTAGAATATATAAGGAAAAATACATAACTTTATTCGTTTCTAGTTTCCTCGTAATCACTTCATGCCTTCTTTTATTTTAGATGTAGGGTTGAGTTTCCAAAAGATGAATACTATATGGGGAATGGAGGTTTACCACCCTCCTCAACTGGGTCCAGACTTTTCCGCCTAATGAGCTTCACTGCATGCCTTCCAGGGGTGCAGCTAGATTCTTCCTTCTTCGGGAAAATGAAAGCACTGTGGTTATGCTATTTTGTTTTGGTTTTGACATACTTTGAAACACATAGAGATATGATTTGCACTAGCTGATATTGTCATCCATGTGGCAACTTGGTATACAACAACAGGATCCATCTCCAAACGTATTTGGGAGTAGTTCAAGTAAGGAATTAAATCCTCATTGTACTTAGTATACTAAGTTACTAATTAGTTAAAAGGAAATAACTATTATTCTTGGGTACCACTATGACCTTAGTAATCAATGAGGGTATATATTGCGAGGGAACCACTTATATTTTCAAGATAGCATGTAAGTTGGTTATGCACATAGAAACTACTACACTCATCAGATCATGGAATGACTTCTAGGGAAAAAGGAGAAAAGAAAAAAGAAAGATCCAAGATGCTAGACATTCTCATGGAATTACTTCTAGGAAAAAAGGAGAAAAGAAAAAGAAATTTCCAAGATGCTGGACATTCATGGACTACCCCATTTATTTTCCTACTGAAAATTCTAGTCATCAGAATCTCTCTTACAAATACTACCCTGTCAAAAGGATAAAAGGAGAAAAGAAAAAGATAATTCCAAGATGCTGGACTTTCTTGGACAATATCCCAATTATTTTCCTACTAAAAAATGTAGTCGTTGGAATCTCTCTTGACAAATATCTTGTCGAATATAATTATTTCTAGTTAACAATCAACAGTCATATTTTTATTTATCTAACAACAGCCACCAGATACCAACTCTCTATAATCAGTGACATCATAGGCAGTTATTAATAATTCAACAGAAAAGATATACAAGTATATGTGAACCTCAATGGCAATCAAATAGTAGCGAATTGCAAGATCAATATTGCCTTTCTCCTGTAAACAAAAGGAAAACGCATCTCCGTCAGCTCCAGTTTAACCACCCATTTTTAATTATTATTTTTTTGTTCTTTAGCCAAAACCACAAAAATAAATTGCAGTAGTTACCTTCCAAGCATTTGCCATGTTTCCAAAGCATTCAGCAAAATTTGGCTCTATTCTTAGAGCTTCCTCATTTTTGGCAATGCACATATCAAAATCATGCAGCTGCAAAAGCACAAAAAAAAGTGGTCAAAGTTGGAGACATTTTGAATCCAAAAAAATACTAAATTATTAACTGGGGTACAGAGTGAAAATTTATAATGTAGTCCACATTGCTCATTAAAGGAGCATTGCGCCTTGAGAGATGCTTTTACTGGTTGTGGATTCAGTTAAATATTTTTTCATTTTTTATTGTACTTTTTCTTTCTCAATATAAAAAATAATAGGTAGTAATCTATATGATAAAAGTTGAGGGAAAAAAGACTACCAATATAGTCCACAAGATCAAGCAGCATGTGAAAACAAGAGAATAAGGATGCTACAAGATACAATATATAATATTTAAATTAGAACAAAAACTAACCTGATAATAAATTGCACCAAGAAGAAGAAGATTATCAGTTCTAAGCGGGTTTTTCTTATAAACGGCATTGCTGCAATCTAGTGCTTGTTTGTAATTGCCAGCCTTGTACATCTGATGTGCAAGCCCCAAATGGACATCTTCTTCTACAAAATCACAAAATTATGTCATCAGAATCATCAGATATCTCTGAAACCTTCAATAGTATCTGTCATCAGAAATCAAACTATTGCTAGTACTAGGTCAAATTGCAAAAAAAAAAAATATAAAAAAAATAAATAAAAAGAAGAACCCTCAAACTATCAACTTTTTTGCAAATATCTCCCTAAAATGGCAAGAAACCCCTGAATTATAAAAAAGTTGCATATGAGGACACCACACTAAAACACTGTAACCTGCAATGTCGAATTACCAAGATAGCTGCTAGTTGTAACGTTGTTCAGTAAATTATCTTTACTCGTCTCCACATGTCCAAAATTTTAGAAAGAAAGAGGACCCACCATTCTTCAGTTAGATCCAACTCGTACTACTTTTTGCTACTTCTACAGCATCTATAAACCATTATTGTGTATCATATATGTATACAAATATGTTATGCATTCTGTACTTGGAAAAATTAAGTAGACGGGTAGCTACATTTTTTTTTTATAAGTAAAATTTCATTAAAGGCACTCAAAAGGGGAGCGCTCCCAAAGAACAAGAAGCTGCCTAAACAGCGACACTATAGCTTTAAGCTATCCACAAAATCCAAAAGACTATCTATAGATATACAATTTCACCCATTAACCCAAGTAGACGGGTAGCTACTTGGACCCATAGACGCGCTCGTTCTCTCTCTCTCTCTCTTTCTCTCTCGGGTTTTTTTTTTTTTTTTTTTAAGTTCGGAGAAGATGACCTAAGTGCTAGTAGATCTTTCAGATCCATCTTCATCTTCCTGAATTTCTCTCTCTAGCTAAAAATCCTTATTTCTTTCTCTCATTTTCCTTTGTATGAACTATTAACCAAATCTGAAAAACATGTACTGGATAGTGATTTAATCTGTGTTTTGTGATTTTCACGTATAGGGCATCTGATTGATGTTGTTGAATCATTTTTATGTCCTGGTTCTATATGCAGTGGCAGGAACGGTCCATCCAAAAAGAAATAAACTTATTTTTCTCATCATGCTCCGGTGTGATAGCAAAAACTCCACCATCTACCAAATATAGTAGAGTACAGAAATTAGATTAAATGATTCAAACGATTATTAAAAAAGGGATAAATGGGTAGTATTGTCAGAAGAGTACAAGAAAATGTCATGAGCAATGCACACGACTATCTTATTCATCTGTTTCTTAATGGTGGACTGATGTCAGGTGACTGATTGCAACATTTTCAGCGAGTTTAAGCCGTTTTTTTTCTAAATTGATAGTTAAAGGGAGGTTTTATTTTTTTATTTTTTATTTTTTAATTTTTTTTTAGTTTACCCTTGGTACTATTTCTACAAGAATGTACAAAGACAACCATTAAGTTCGTCAGCTAGAAAAAGTGACATAGTCCACATTGAGGGTAATACTAGGAGAAGAGAAGTTGAGGATAGTACTGGGAGAAGAGGAGAACAAAGTTAACTTTGGTAGGGTTAGTAAAGAAAGATATAATAGCAAGTGGATTCATGACGACTATGGCCTTACAAGGAGCGGAATGGAAGCATGGGATTCATATAGCCGACCCCAAGTCATTGGGAAAAGGCTTCGTTGTTGTTGTAATTGTAGCATTAGAATAAAATGCATGAGGAACTATTTACATATAAAAATAGAAAGTCCAAAAATTCAATAAATCATGCCCCTATGATTTCTCTATGCATGAAGTTACTGTTGAGAAATAAAGGATTGACTTATCCCAAAAGAAAAAAAATTGAAATAAAGGGTCTCTATTATATGTATTATATATAAAAGATTCCAATTTAACCATTTGGATTAATAGTCTAAACCCAAAAAACTATGAATAAATTGCATATTATCTTCATCCTAGGGGCTTCATGCAAATTATTTATAATCCAGGAGTTTGTGCAATTAACCTTAAAATAAATTTAGTATTAATTTTCAAATCGCAAAAACAGTTAGGCTGTTGGTCTTATTTGCAAACTTTCAATATTCTATCCCAACAGTAGCATGCAAATTGTTCATATTTCATGGGTTTTTTATGCATCCAATTGGGAAGATCAATTTGACAGCTTTCATTTTTAAAACCAACAATAAGTTAAAAACCGTAAAAGCCGTGGGCCTGTTTGGTTTAGTTTTCCGAATATAGTTCTCAAAAACACTGTAAAGGTTCTTTACTAGAGCAGAAATAAAATATGATGAATGGAGATACCAAGCACAAGTGGAGGACCCATAAAGCCTGAAAACAAAGAGACAAAACAAAAGGGATTAAAGGTGAAGGTAGGAATGTCAGTGCCAGTGACAGAGAATAAATGAGCTTCAGTTATGGTGATTCTAGATTGCTCAATGACACCCATATTTATAGTCTGTGGTTCCTTATAATACCCGAAAGTAAGAGGCTCACTCAAGGTATTACCTAAAGCCTAGGATTCTAAGTCATGATTACCTTAGTTGTCTTCTGTCAACCATTAAGTTGAATCCTTCGCCGATTTTGCCCGGGTTGGTAGCAACACATTAAATGGTTAATGCAATATTAAGGGCCTGTTTAGTAACGTTTTTACTTTCTGATTTTTACTGTCAATTCCTGAAAAGAGAAAGTAAAAGTAAAAATTATGTTTATTAACATATTTTTACTTTTTTACTTTCAGGAAGTACTTTCACATTTTGGGAAAGAAAAAGAAAGCATAGATTCTTCACTTTCTTGTTTTCTCCACTGTAGCGGAGGAATTACTTCCGCTACTGTAGCGGAACTTAAAAAGACGCTGTGTTCGGCTCGTTTATAACAATACCCACTGTTTGTCTCTCCCAAGTACCACACAACGATGGCCACCAGATGCACAACTCCGACAAGGACGATTCGCCGATTGGCATCGCCGGCAACACCATATCGGCGATGAAGGGACTTAGGTAAGTTATGCTTTCCTCAAATCTGAATTTTTTTTCTCTCTCTCATCCTTAGGACAAAATCCCCTCTCTTCCTCCCTCTGTTTTCGGCAATGAAGGGACTTAGGTCTTGTGGGGTGAGATGAGAGAGAGAGACGAAGAGGAGGGTGATGAGAGAGACTGAGATGGGGTTGGGGTGAGGTGGGTTTGTGGATGAGTGGGGTTGAGTGGGTGTTTGGTTGGGGTTATTGGGTCTGGTTCTTTGGAAAATTTTGTTTTGCAGAGTGATGATCTATAGAGAGAGAACATGATTCTTCATATATATATATATATATACATACACACATATACGTAGCTTATGCTCAAATCATTCTTTGATGTATTGCTAGCGTTTAGCTATAGTCCTAGGGCTCCCTCTAGCTGCAGCAAGGCCGCTGCCAATTTGCCATTCATGCTTGTTTTGGATAATTCATTTCCCGGTAATCTAATCTTTCTAACATGCCTTCGTCAACAAATTTTCTCAATTTTGCTATAAAATTTGCATCAACACTTATTTTTTGGTTCTCTCTGATCTTTATAGATAAACGTAATGCAACTTCTGGATGTGGCACTCTCTAGCTGTTGGTATATTAACTCTGTTAATCATCTTTGACTTCATCAGTTTCTGCTCTCAACTGATGCCCAGGCTCAATTTGCATCCTATCCACAGTGAGCATATACCTGTTCTCAATGATAATTGTAAGAACCATATGCATTCACTTCTAAGTTTTTGGATGGCGAAGACTTCAATTGGGGGGTGATTTAGGGTGGTCTGGACCTTGATGGTTCGACCGGTGGAGTAGTGGTGGTGGAGAGTGGTGGGGAGAGAGAGGAACCAGGTTTTGGGGTCTTGTGGGGTGAGATGAGAGAGAGAGACGAAGAGGAGGGTGATGAGAGAGACTGAGATGGGGTTGGGGTGAGGTGGGTTTGTGGATGAGATGGGGTTGGGGTGAAATAGAAAGCAAAATCAAAATTATAATTATATTAAACTTACTTTCTAATTTTTTACTTTGAAAATATTGAAAGCATAAAAAATTAGTAAACATAATTTTACTTTATATTTCAATTTTAGAAATGAAAAGTATGATTTTACTTTTGAAGAAAGCAAAAGTAAGAAAGTGAAAGCGTTAGTAAACGGGCCCTAAATGCATTCAACTGTTTAACAACAGTGTTGCATATTAAATAGTGAAGACGTAGCATTAAATGTGATCGTGTGTTTCCATCATGGCACGTGCTCATCGTCCCTTAGGTCAAGCCAACGTCCGAGAGACTCAGGCATCTTCTGGCTTCTCATCACCCAATCAAAGATCCTTCTAAGTGTCCCATGGATAACTGTAATCATGTGAGGTGTCCTACCTACGTTCCTCTTCACGTTTGTCAGTCCTGCCTCAAGGGTTGCTCATCAAGGTTTCGGATATCCTAAGAGAGCGTCTTAGTATGGAGAGGCGTCTTCTTCAAGCTCGGAATGACCCATCGTAATGCCAATGCTTTGGACTCGAGGATAGCATTTTCAAGGTTTGGGGTGACCTGAATTTTGGGATGTTCTAACATGGCGTCGGTTTTGGACTCGATGGTTGTCTCCTCAAGGTTTGGGATGACCTAGCGTGGCATCAGGATTTTGGGACTTGAGGGTTGCTTTCTGAAGGTTTTGGGGACCTGACGTGGCACCAAGGTCTTGGACTTGAGCATTGCTTCCTCAAGGTTTGGAGTGTCCTGACATGGCGCCAGGACTGTGGACTCCAAGATTACTTCTTCAAGGTTTGGAGTGACCTTACCTGGCATAAGGTTTTTGGCCAGGTAAGCAGTATGGGTTTGACTCTACAACTTATGGGTTTGACTCCCACACATGGGGGAAAATGTTCTCAGAAAACAGGCTTTTTTTACTCAGTTTTCAGAAAACGATTAACCAAACAAATTTTTGCACTGTTTTCTTATTAATTTTTAGTTTTTTAAAATGTTCTCCGATAACTAAACCAAACAGGTTCCATATCCAAAAGGAAATTTTCTTAAGGGCTTGTTTTTTCAGTTTTTTTAAAGTTTTTGGATTTCTTGAAAACTGCTTTCTAGTGGCAAACCAAGCAGGCCCAAACTGACTGGTTTTTATTCATTATAGTGCATAATATTTTCCCATCCACAAAATCAGTAAAACCCAAAACTTTAAAGGGAATAACTGATCAAAACACCATAGATGAAGATGATTGTGCGATCAATCACCGCAGCAGCACCACAACCAAAAACTAAACAAAACCCTAGAAAATTAAAAACTTAAATGCATATATAGATGTGTATATGATGGAAAAAAATTAGAATCACCTTCAATAGAATCAGGAGGGGCATTGATGAAAGGTTTGAATTTGGACGAGGAGTCCAAGTTCAAATCGAGAGATTCATCGACAGCGTTGAAGGAAAGCTGCGACTGATTCTGCAGCTGCAGAAGATCGAAATTGCGAGCATCGCTCTGCAACGAAAGCATCTTCGAAACCCTCAGATTGAAAGAATCAAAAACACAGTGGGATCACCACTCGTCAAACCCCCTCTATATATATATGTGTGTGTAATTAGACGATGGATGAAGAATATTGTTCAGTTAATAAAATTAACAGTTTGAAGATTTTTTCTTGTAACGTTTCTTCTTCGGGGACTTCTATGAAGGAAAGGGATGAGGACTGACAAAGCGTCTAGATTCTGACATCTGTCGACGCGTGTCGCGGATATATGTCTTTTTTAAGGAGAAAAGCTGCGTTCCAACGACAAATACAATGTATCTTATCTGTCGTCTTTGTCCACTTGTCATATATATAGGGTCCGTTTGACAACAGAAAATGTTTTGCAGTGTTATTTTCATTCGAAATAGATTTTTTTTTTTTTTTTTGGATTGTGAAGGATGTTGAAGGGTAATTATGTTTGATAATGTAAAATTTGTTATAAATTTTTAAAATAAAAATATTAAAATATATTTGATTAGAATGTATTATAAATTTGAAAAATGAAATGAGTAATTAGAAAAGATTTTATATTTATATATATATTGTTTATTGCTTGTAATACAGTGCAGGAATAATAAATTTGGTGTTTTCTGATTTGGCCTTTTTAAAAAATAAATGGTATTATTCAAATCTTAACAAAAATTATCAAACACATTTGGATTTTTTTTTTTTGCTTCACTTATATCATCCACCAAATTAAAATAAATAAAAACTGAAGCAAAATAGCTGCTGAATAGGGCCTTTAGTAAGTGATATCATTTTGTCTCTATTTTTAGTACACTGTCATGCCATAGTTGCGCGTTCATTTATGAGATGTCTCTTGTATTTATAAAAATTAAAAATATAAATTTTTAAGACAAAATTTCCCTTTAACCTTTTCTTATCTCTCTTCCTTTTTTTTTCTCCCTCTGCACAATTTTATCTCTTATAGATAGCCAAAAAAAACACATACCAAATATATTATTTTCTTTCTTTTTGGATTGCCAGACAAATAAAATTATGGGAATGAATTATTCAACTTTATTGGAGGAAATGAAATCTTAAAATAATAATAATAAAATAAAAAATAAAAAATCACAGTTCTTCATAATAAAAGAGCTTTATCCCACAAAACACGATTGATCATGATCAATTGAAAAAGTCATAATTGATTGAAAATATAAAATTTAAGAAAATCACAATTGATGGGAAGCTCTTTTACATTAGCGTTCAATTATACTTTGGAAGCAAAAAATTATATACTTATAATCTAATCAAAATTAGTTAATTAACTTTTCTTTCTCTAATTTAAGAATGTGATAGATGGGCCGATGACCAGTCCAAATAAGAAACTTTAATAATTAAAAAAACAAAAATGATTCACGCCCTGACAAACACTCTCTCTTTGTCTCTTCTCTTTCTCAAGTCTCAACAAAACATTTTCTCTCATTCAATTGCCTAGAGACTAGAGATAAGTCTTCCTCTCAATCTGTTTCTCTCTCTCACACATAAACAGAACACATCAGTCAGTAGTGCATGGAAAATTTGACCTCTTTGAAGAATCTCACTGTTGTTTATTTGAGAAGTAACTATTTTTACGGTTACATTCCCGGTGGGTTTGATTTCGCCGAAGTGTTAGATCTGTCTTCCAATATGTCTAATGAGTCATTGGCTGTCGATTTCGGTGGGCAGAGTTTGAGATATTTGAATCTATCTTACAACAAGCTTGCCGGGTCAATTTCACCGCAATCCGCGAAGAATATCCCGGCGAACGCTGCAATTGATCTCTCCTTCAACAATCTCACCGGCAATCTATGGCCTTAGATAATCAGAAAATAGAGTTCTTCGCCGGAAACATGGATCTCTGCGGCAAACCACTCAAGAAGCTTTGTATAATCCCTTCGCCGGAATAGCGACTTCTACAGTCGCTGCTGTCGCCGCCGTTGGGCCATTCCTCCATCGTCGCCAGTGGGGCTCACGGTCATTCCATCCCCGCTGCCGACCGTCTGCTCATTGCCATCACCACATCACTGAGGTTACCGTCTTCCAAGTTTTCTGCACCACCTTGCTCGACTGTCCGGTCCATTCCGTCTTCGTCCTCGCCGGACTCTGTGTAGCAATCTTGTCCCGCGGTTCTCACAAACCCAACCTATTAAGAAAAAATGGGTTTGTTAGAAAGAAAGAAAGAGAGAGCAGAGAGAGGAGAGACAAATTGAGGGACGTACAGCTGTACAGACACGTGGACAACACGTGTTTCTGCTTAGAAAATCTTCCAAAATAATCTGCCCAAATATCAATTTCCATTTAAAAAAACTTACATTTTCTTACCATGCCATTAAATATCGTTGAAGAAAATTAATAAAATTAGACAATTTATTAAAAAAAATAAAAATAAAATAATTTGATTACTTTTTTGCCTGAGTTTCTCAACCCAGTAAAAAAATCGTTTCCCATCATTACCGTTGTTTATTCAACAAATTTGCAAACAGAAAGAAAACCAAATAAAATTTATCAAAAGAGATATAGAAAATAACCATTAAATAAAAATTGCTTGAGAAGTATTGATTATAATAAAAATTCAAATTTTATGATTGATCGATAAAAACAAGTAAGCGTAATGTCACGCCCCGCTTATGGAGGTTATGCCACGCAGGCGACACGCAGACGCTAAGGAGGACGCTGCATGGCAACTGCATGGCAAGTGGAGTTTCTAGAGTCTTCCGGAATAGTCTAGAGTTATGTGGAAGTTTCTAGATATGTGTAGAAATGTGTAGAAGTGTGTGGAAGGTTCTAGAGTTCTCCAGAGTTGTGTGGAGTAGTATGGAGAATTCTAGAATGTTGTAGATACTAGTAGATAAGTATGGAAGTGTGAAGAAGGTGGGAGAAGATTCTAGATAATCAATCTCCACCGTTGGTTAGAATGCATCCTAGCCGTCCATTAGGGATGGGGATGCCTATAAATAGAGGTAGGACTTCATTTTGTAGGCAACAAGTCCTAGAGTGAGTCTTGAGAGCCTTGTAGAGAGCTTGAGTGTTAGCCTTGTACAAAGCATTCTTTGAAGTAATAGAAGTGTTCTTTCCTTGCCAACTTAAGTGCCTTAGTGTGTGAGTGTGCAAGCCAAGTGAGGAGAGGGCAAGGGCAACTACAACACTAGTAAGCGCACGAGGGGAGTGTGTTGGCTAAGGTGTGCACGGGAGTTAGGCTGACCAAGTACTTGCGAGAGTGAAAGCAACGTCTTGGTGCCGCACGGGAGCAGCTAGAGTGGTGCTGAAACTCTAAGCCCGTGACAGTTGGTATCAGAGCAGGTTCGTCAAGGGAGCTTTGTTGGAGTAGACATGGCTAGCGGAGGAGACCACCGAGTCCACATCTTAGAGCAGAGCTTGGAGGAGAAGCTTGCCACACACTTGGTCTACACGGAGACCAAGTTTAATAGGCTCGAGAGAAGGATGGCGGAGCTCTACGAGCTGATTGATGGCATCGCCAACAAGCCGCAAGAGAAAGAAAAGGACTTGCATGATTTGGTAGACGACTTGCGCGTGGAGATTGCCGAGTGCAAGAAGGAGTTCTCCCAGGCGCGCGAGGTCGTGGTGAAGCCAAGGAAGAAGAAGGCGCCGGAGCCCAAGGAGTACGATGGGGCAAGGAATGCGCGCCAGATTGACAACTTCTTCTGGCACATGGAGCGGTACTTCGAGTGCATGGAGATCGAGGATGATGAGGAGAAGGTGCAGACAGGCACTATGTACCTCACGGACACTGCCGCTCTATGGTGGAGGCAGCGCTTCACCGGTAGAGGCGCAAGAGCAGTTGACACATGGGAGGAGTTTAAGAGGCAACTCAAGAGGCAGTTCTATCCCGAGTGCGTTGAGGACCTCGCCATGATCAACCTAAGGCGCCTGAAGCAGAAGGGCAGCATAAGGGAGTATGTGAAGGAGTACTCCAACTTGATGCTGGAGATCCCAGAGATGCCGGAGCGGCAACGTGTGTGCTTGTTCATTGATGGGCTGCAGTCTTGGGTGGCCACGGAGCTAAGGAGGAGGGAGCCTAGAGACTTGGCATCCGCAATGGCTATAGCGGAGCGCCTCGAAGACTTTAGGCGCGATGACAAGAGGGCCACGTCTCCCAAGAGGGACCACGGCAAAGGTGGGGGAGACCGGCGCTTCAAGAAACGGGGCTCGCCCAAGTCTAGCGATGATGAGCACAGCGATGAGGAGAGACGCCCACGCCATGATAAAGGTAAGGACCATGGAGAGAGGTCTAAGGCTAGTGGCAAAGGGGAGCGCCGCGATAAGGGCAAGTGGGAGCCGAAGTGCTACTTGTGCGAAGGGCCGCACATATTGCGACACTGCCCCAACAAGAAGACCATGAGCGCCCTTGTGAAGGATAAGGGCAAGGGCAGGGTGGACGATGCGGGCAGCGATGAAGATAGGTGCATGGGGGCTATGCAGATGCTGAGTAGCATGGCGCATGACACCAAGAAGAAGGGCAAGGCAAAGAAGGTAGCTGGGGTGCGCTATGTGGATGCGCAGGTTGGTGGCAAAGCCGTGCAAGCGTTGGTAGACACGGGTGCTACACACAACTTCATTACCCCGGAAGAGGCGCAACGACTTGGCTTGGAGATGCGCAAGACGGAGGGCTGGATCAAGGCCGTCAACTCCGAGGAGGCACGCGTGAGTAGAGTGTGCAAGGAGGTGGAGCTATGCATGCAAGGATGGAAGGGCAAGGCTGACTTCCAAGTTGCGGAGATGGACGACCACGACATGGTGCTGGGGCTGGAGTTCATGGACAGGAACAACGCCGCGCCACTACCATGCCTTGGTGCGTTGATGATACTTGGAGGCGAGGAATGTAAGGCCGCATGCATGGTGCCGCTCGTGGGCAGGAAGGAGAGTCCAGAGGTGGCAGTCAACACGATGGAGCTCGTGAGGACTTCACATCTCCCGAAGGGCGCTCGTACGTTTGGGCCAAGGACATATGCGCAAGTGCTGATGACCTGCGAGAGGCTGGGTCAGCTGAAGAAACCGTGACGAGGGCGTCACGGAAATGGGTGGGGGAGAATGTCACGCCCCGCTTATGGAGGTTATGCCACGCAGGCGACACGCAGACGCTAAGGAGGACGCTGCATGGCAACTGCATGGCAAGTGGAGTTTCTAGAGTCTTCCGGAATAGTCTAGAGTTATGTGGAAGTTTCTAGATATGTGTAGAAATGTGTAGAAGTGTGTGGAAGGTTCTAGA